AATACACATTTCAGAACAATTCATTTCTAAACATGGAAGGCTGTGAGATGTTCCATGCATAATTAGTCTGTTAAAGGTTAAATCACTATTTTCCAGTAAAGACCAACTGTACAGTTTGTATGGCTGTTTAACCTAAAAAAAATTCAGCTGTATGCAGTGCCAAATGTTGCTGTTTTTGAGTGGGCTTTGCGTTTATTTCTGTGCACAAAAATATAGTCTATGAGTAACCCTGATATAGCGTTGAGTGCTTTGCCAGTGGAAGTCAGGCAATCCACGACTTCCTCTCAAGAAGGATGATTTATGTTTAATTGAGCTACCGGTACTTGATGCTTCCCTTCATTCAGCCCCCTTGCTTGGCAGCCACTGGGGCTACATGCTTTCTCATAAGAGAGCTGGAGCCTGGGCAACCCTTTAAGAAGAGTGAGACTGAGAGCACAGCATGTAGGAAGTGTCACTGAGAGAAAGGCTCTAGTTGCTGTCTGCCATTAATTACCAATTTAACGCCAACTCCAATTCATTTGTTTACCTTTACCATTATAAAGTTAAACAATCAATAAAAGCAATCTTGGTTCAGCTGGAGGACATCATTGGACAGTTGAAATGCAAACTTTTATAAAGACAGAAATATATGATGGTACTGCTCGAATCCCATAGTACAATTTGAAGGGCAAGAGCATGTCAATATCATTATTTCATAAAATGAAAATCGGCAACTGAGAAAATGGTAAGCAAGCGCATGCACATACAATTTTCTGGAAGAAAACACCATCAACAACAGCAATCATTGTTGTAACTGGCGATTTAAATACACTAGTAAAAAAGTTATTTTGTTCAACTCAAAAGCTAAAGGGCTTGTCTAGGAGTTAATGTTACAACCACACAGGTTGTTTTTTAACAAATCTTGTGACCATTTTCAAGACCTGTAACTTGTAAATGTCTGATTATCAGTCATCAACAATGTCACAAGAGTCTTGATCAAAAAATATCACTCTACTATACTCTATAACCAGATCTAGTAGTTCAAAACTTCTATAAAAAGCAAGACTGGGCTGGAGGCAATAAACAAAAACACCCTTTTTAAATTCTTGTCTCTTTTTATTTTAATATGTTTTAGAGACAAGTCTTCATATTCAAAAAACTGCAATGAATATGATAAAACTATTAACAAAGCTAACTTGCCTCACATTCAGTAGAATGAAGTGGACTTGGATTCACGACTGGGACTGGATTAATTTTTAACATAATAAAAGCCTTAATTGTAGTGGCTTGCTTAAAATAAGTTACTTAGGTTACTTTAACCCTTTTAGACACCTTATAGAGTTAAACTGATAAGTTTTGCAGTTGTTAATATATAATAGGTAATATATAATATAATATCATCAGACACGAGAAACATTCTTATGTAAAGGTAAAACTGTGAGGTCAACATTGAGGACTGTGTGTGCAACATTGCTTCTATGGCAACAGGGAGCGCACCCTTCAGCAGCTCCTTGCATGATGATGCAAGGGATTTCCCTTAACCTTTTACACCATCATAAACTGACCTCGTGCTTATCATAGACGACACATGAAAAACAATAAAACTAAAGTACAGAACTTTTTCTTTGCCATTGATCAAATTGAGATTTCTGTGATATTTTTTTCCAATCAAACACATACAGCTCTAGAGAGAAAAATTTATCAGATGAGGACAAATGATTTTGTGCCATTTACTTCCATTTTCCAGAGTGAATGAAGAGGGAATTTAACCATTGCTTATCAGTGGACCAAACTAACAAAATATTGAAACGAAACATTTTAAAATTAAATAGGAAACAACAGGTAAATTATCAGACTATCTTTTTTCAATTGTCATTTCCCATTATATACTGTACAATATTGTATTATTATTTACACATCATAACTAGTGATAGACTGACTGGTATATATATATATATATATATATATATATATTATATGTAAGTGTGTGTGTGTGTATGTGTGTGTATATATATATATATATATATATATATATATATATATATATATATATATATACTGTTTACAAACAGACAGACATGCACACACACACACATATACACACATAATAAATAAAATGTAACAACTTATAACCTTTATGTTCGATATGATTAATTGCGATTAATCGATTTGACAGCACTAATATATATATATATATATATATATGTAAATGAATATATATATATATATATATATATATATATATATATTAGCTGGCCTTCTTATAAAAGCAAAATAAAACAAACAAACAAACAAACAAACCAAATAAATCATAATAGAAAAAGAAAAAAAAACATAAACGATCACAACAGGTCAAGCTGTGTTTTGGACCATAGCTGTTCAAACAGCTAAATGACTGGCTCACCTGCTAATATGACAATCTTAGACTAGCTAAAAACCATCTACCAGCTAACGTCTTAGATTGGATTTTTCAGGATGGTCGTCGAGCATCTTTTGTCGAAATCTCGGTTTATCAGAATAAATAATAGTAGTAAGCAGCAATAAGGAATACTAAACCATGACCACCTCCTGCATCAGTCTAGAAACGCATCCGATCAGCTGATCTGCATTGCTTGTCGTGACTCATGTAGCTTATTCTTTCTAAAAAACAGGCCTTTCAGCATATAAATGCCAAAACGCGATATTATGCTGCAAAGATGTTAACACGATGAAAAGCATATCAAAACAAAACACATATGGCACTATATATAACGTAATACTTATTTAGCAATGCAGATAAGGATAAAATCCAACCTCTCGGTGCATTATGACATCACGACAGCCACAACGGTTTATGCTATTAATTACATTTCATTCACTACGTAAATCGAAGTGTCTTATTCAATGCGGTATGACTACCGCTACTACTAATAATTAGGCTACATTCAGTTATCTAAACAGCATTTCTTCCTACCTTTCGATGCACTAGCTGTCTCTCATTCTCCGATGCCCCAGCTGCTTTCAGAAACGCTGACCTTTCATTTGTCATTCGCTAGCTGTCAAAGGTCAGATTGGCGCATGTCCCAGCGAATCCTGCTGCGTTTCGAATAAGCGCACGAACACTTGAAGCAACGACGAGCTACTTCAGCATCATCGAATCACAACAACAACCCACAAGGCAAATTCACAAGGACCGTCAATTTGATATAGATTAGGAAATAGAAACTGATATTGTTTTTATTTTTAAAATGTTCAATAACTGTACAAAATATGCACTGACCGTTAATATTTTAGGAAATCATGAAATGGATTTTTGAAATGGAGTCAAAATCTATCACTGATTTTTTTTTTTTGTTGTTGTATTTTGTGATAAGCCGTCTGACTCATATATTTTTTATGCTAGGTAAAATGATGATAATTTTAGGTATCAAACCGAGATTCCGTTCAGCAATGACACCTTTTTTTTGTACGTTTCGGGACTTCCGTGATGGCGAGTCCAAACTGTAGCCGCAGATGGTGTGTGCTAGTGCTACTATGGCTAAGGCTTAGATCGTGAATATTAATTAGATTATGGTGACGTTGCTCGATAAACTTCCTCGAAACGGCTCTGGGAGAGTCCTGTCATCTTATCTAATTAATATTCATAAGCCTTGCCTTCGCCGTAGTAGGATTCGAACATAAACGTCAACGCGCAGCCCCCTGAATGCACACTCCACCCCAGAGGACAACCCTGCCCTGACGTCGCTTTTACGTAAGAAGTAGTTATATGCAGAAGATAATAATAATAATAATAATAATGTAGGCTACAGGTTTATTTGGTGTCCAAAGTCATTATTTTATCTGCTTTTTTCAAATGGTAAGAATTTGTTACTCATTGTCATGGATCACAAAACGTTACAGGCCATAACAATATAATATTTTCTGTAAAAAGTGTCTTATATAGCTGAAAATCATGATTTCTTGTTGTCCGAATTCCTTCATATCATTGTGTAATCAAAATATTTTATTTTACTTTTGGCAATATATTATCTATTTTATTTATAAAAGTCCTAAATAGTAATTTTCCTAATTCTACAACATTCAATTGTTTAACAATAACTTTTATCTTATAAAAATAATCTTACAATTTTTGCGTCAATTCTGTTACCGTACCATACTTTGCTTTTATATTGGTGGAATTATCTCCCACAACTATGTAAGATACAGGAAATGATGTCACTTTCCCTCACTGATAAGATCTGAAGCACTGAAAGGTATGTGTGCTCTCCCTGAGAAAATATTTTAATCTAAAAAGTTCTTACACCCAGAGTTATTTTGTAAAACGTCAAAATTGTTACCACAATATCAAAAAGAAAACAGAATTTATCACTGATCACACAGTGGGTTGTTTAAAAGTCTTTTAATCATTATTTCATTAGTGCCATGTGCTCTTAGCATTTCTCCTAGCAGGTGGAGTTTTTGGCTAAAAAGTTTAAAATGGTCAATTCTGTTACCATCAAACTCTGTTACCAAGGAAGGGTAACAATGTTGACAGTGTGTAACAAAATGTACAGTTGACAAACAATACTGTAAAGAAATCTATAAAGATTTTTCTCGTTAAAAGTAAAAAAAAAAAAAAAGAGGAAGTAATGCGTTTGGCAAGCACTGAATTATTAATTTTATATGTATTCAATAAGATACTGGAAAGAATTTCTGTTAGTGAACGTTTTTTTTCGCCTTAACCTTTTGAAATGCAAAATGTATCTCCAATTATAGAATCAATCATATAGTAGCCTTTTTCACACACAAAAGTCCTTGTCAAAAAGAACAGTAGATGAAATAAATTAATGTTCATGATCTTTCACGCCCTCTTTAATGAATCTGAAAAATTGTCATCAGGAAGGCTTATAGGGCTCGTAGAACAAATAAAAACATTTTTAGGAGATCCTTTGTTTCTCTGTCAGTTTGTTTATTGAATATTATGTTTTGTGAACAAGTTTTATGTGTATTGTGGGTGGCCAATAACAGATTTCCATGAGAAAGATAAATGAATGCACTTCAAATTTCTGTGAAAATACATTTATTTTTTTGGGGGGGAAAAAGGAAAGCTCAAACATGTTAATTCTTGTAAATGGTATTGCACATCAAGATGGTGTGGAATTATTTTAAGTGTTTTCTCCAACCCTTATTGGCTGGTGTATAGGACTGAAACAAAAAAATGAAAGAGAGAGAATGGGAAGCAATTAAGAATAAAAGTAAACTGAAACGGAAACAAATAGTATCACAAGGTCATGTGTGCCTAACACTCTGAGATCCTTCAGCTTATCTTTTGTTTTGGGGACTAATTTGAAACTAATTGTATAATTGCATCTTTGGTTTCTGGTAAATCTGCGCTTTAATCACTTTCACTGTTGTAATGGCTGAACACAGTCACAGTTATTAATTTACAAATAGTTACAATATATATATAAAATCATAAAACATCACTAGATTCTTTCTTATCGAAAGTTCTCTCAGATATATGGGTCTTAAAAATGCAATGCCGAACAGTATTTATTTACCAAAAAGGAGGCAGTGTTTAATGAACATTTGAAATGAAATAGGATTATTTCATTACATTACTTATATACAGCCATTTGCTATAGTGTTACCAATACATTGGTTTGATTTTTAACAGTTAAACATTATATCACTGTTTTTCAAAGAATAAGGCCTGGTGTCCTCAATAGCAATTTCAGCAGATTAAGAAATTGTACTTTACCAAGGTATTTGTGCCATTTTTGGATTATAAAGCTTGTAAAACAAACATAATTAAAGCATTCTTTATGATGTATAGCATGACAACACTACAATGAAATATGTGAGAAAGCTAAACACCACAGACAGAGAGGATATAAAGTAAAGCCATCTCAGAAATAATTGAAACTGGTTAGAATCTCACAGAAATGCTTGAACAGTTCAGTCTCATCCAATCAGACAAAGTCACATGCGTCTACCCTTCACTTATTATTCATATGTGATTTAATCTCATCTATATGAAATCTGTGCACTCTGAATTGAAATATAGGAACCAATAACACTATAAAAGCAGACAGCAAGTTCTAGAAATGTAGGAAATCTTTTCAGCAAGTGAAATAATCAAAGATAGCACTATGAAGAATAATACTATACCACGAACGAACACGCTGCCATCATAAAAATGATTAGCATGGAATCTTTGGAAATCGACGTGGTCAATCAGAAATTCCTCTGAGATGAGGCCACGTTGTTCTCTTGGATATAAGATTATGAGAGGATTTCCTCAGGGAGTTGAAGCACACCGTGCATTTGATTGGATGGTGGGGATCCTTGTGCTGAGAAGTGTGCAGATATTCGGCCAGATATGATCAGTCTCTGTGTCTGAATATGTGTACAGGATGCCTTTAGCCCTTCAAAGAATTACAATTCTGTTAGTAAACAAGTCATTCGTTCATTTGACTCAGAGTCATAGAAGTACAGTCACAAGCACACTGGGTGTGTTTTGGATTGCATTCCAAATGTGAGGAAATTCCTATGAATGTTTTATGAGCGTACTTATAGAAATCGATGACAGGTTTGGCAACATCTTTGTAGTGTCTCAGTCTGGCCACCAGGGCTTCTGGTCTGTCATCTTCCTGTTGAATCAATGGCTCTCCTGTGATGTCATCTATCCCCTGTAAACACAACAGAAATTAGCAAGGCTTGTCCCTACCAATAGACTGTAAAAAACTTGTCCATACCCTTACTGGTATCCCAACTCAATAGCAGCAATAGTGTTTTGCAATACGACAAGAACACATTAAGTATATTGTACTTGTACCGAACTATATTTTTTTTATGCAAGTACATTAAAGATACCCTATATAAAATGTGACCAAAGATTGTGTAACCGCTAGAAAAATAAAAAATCTCTTTAAATGAAATTAATTTTATTTTACTTTTTTGTGTACTCAAAATAAAAGATCTTTTTTTGTTTGATTTATTTAAACATTTTAAAAACACAAAATCATTAAAAAAGAAAAATGGTTTAAGAGAGTCAAAGAAAAAAAAAAACCTTAACTAAATAAAACAAAATAATATAAATAATAATAGTAATAACAATAGTGAAACATAAAATATATACATGCATACCTATATATAGTCTAGGTCAAGCTGGAGAGTTTTAAAAAGTGCAAGAAAGGGCTGCCAAATTTTAATAAAATATTGTAGGCCTCTGAAAAGAATATCTAATTTTCTCTAATTTCATAAAATATTGGGTATCTTTTATCCAACGAGTGTGGTGGGTGAGGGCTTTTCCAGTTCCGTAAAATTAAGAAGATAGCAAGCAATCTTAGAAAAGCAACAACATTTGTAAAGTTAGTTACAAGGGGTGTACAAAGTCCTACTAGAGGGCCAGAGTTTAGATCCAACCCTGTTCCAAAACACCTGGTTGTAATTTCAAAGACCTTTATTAGCTGGTTCAGGGGTCTTTAATGCTGGAACTAAACTGCAAGAAGATGGGTGAGGTTTATAAGGGGTAGTGTCATTTAAAATGGAAAACTTTACTTTCTACTTCACAGAAGCATTTGGTGTTTTCCATTTGAAGAAAATGAGGTTTCAGCCTCAGTGTGAACACACTAACGAAAATCTTGAGAATATTGCGAAATCTTGTCTCAATGCACTCCCTAGTTCAGTAGTAAGTACACAGCCACACTTGTAACATCTAAATTAACTGGTTTTATTCAATTCAAAAATATTAATATCAGTTAATCAGCCTAAACACATTAATTCATACCAGTAAAACTATTTGTATGGGCCAAATCCGGTAGAAATAGCTCTTTAACATAACAACTGAAAGCTACTACTTTTTACGGAGCATTTCTGATGCTGACAAAATCATTCCAGTACACAAATGTTTGCTCCCTAGAAATTCCCAGAATGCACCTGTATCTGTTTTGCTTAAAAATGCAGCACATATTTCATGGCACAATACTATATTTACCCTATTTAACTGGAGGATAACGTGCTATACATTGATGTTGTTGCTCAACCTGCTTTTGGAGCCAAGGAGACTTACTACGAGTTTAAAAGTTTCAATGCAGAAACAATGATAAAGGGAAATGGAGATTTGCTTTCATTTTCATTATTCCTTCATAACCTACTAACTCTTATCTAATTTAATGTGGCTACATATACTGCACTGTGATATCCTATCTCAATCTGAAATAAAGGAGGACAAAGACTAGTATTTTCACCTGGACACGGGGAGGATTGAAGCACATATTGTACACTCTCCCACTGGCTGGATGTATCCAGCGATGTCGCAGCCTTTCCTTCAGTGTTTCCAGAGGGATGTTGAGGTTGATGGCTATATCCAGATCACATGCACTGTTTAGGGCTTCAGCCTGAGCAAGTGTTCGGGGGAAACCTGGAAGGTAAGTTCACAAAAATGAATTCTAACACTTAATACAGGCCAAAATGTTCATGCGCACACCTGATTTATTCACATATGAGTGATTGCATTTTCTTCATTTCATTATAAATTTGCATAATGCCATTTGAAGGTTATAAATAAATACTACTTTGAAATGTCACACTTTTGTTGCAATGTGTAGTTTTGTAACTATGCATAAATGTCAAGCGTTGCAATACAACATCCTTATTTGGTCCCTTGCTGGCAATGCTATAATGATAAAAAACACATAATACCCAACATATTGTGTATTTTTATTCATTATAGCATTCAGTAGCACCTCAATGCAGTACATGAGATCCACGGGGAGGAGTCAGATCAAGATCCAAGGGGTGGAGATGGGTAGGATTAGGGGTGGGTTTAGGGATTAGGGGTGGGTTTAGGGATCAGGGGGCGGAGATGGGTAGGTTTAGGTATATGTAAGGTGGGAGGAGTTGGATCTGGATCCGACTCCTCCCCGTGGATTTCATGTACTGCATTGAGAACCATCTCATAGCATTGCCAGTGGGGAAATCTACTTTCATTACTTGTGACTAAGTGTAGATACTTTTTTGCTAGTCTATATTAATTTGAACCTTTTGTTGGGATTAGTTTTTGCAGTTTGCGCTTTAATCTGTACAGTCCTGCAATAAAGGAACACTAGTTTTAATCCATGTAGCAAGAATGTTTGTAGGTCACACTGCACACCGTTTCAGTACATGTCTGATATCCTATCATCCAATATTAGGAGCTAGTGACTTTGACTTTCTAAGCTAGCAGCTGTTACATCTTGACTTTTGATATCAGTAATCAATTCATAAAATGAAAATAGGCAACATATTTCCAAGGCTCCTAGCTTACTTCCTAAAATTACTAACAATAGATTGCGTAGAGTTTCTGTTGAATGAAGAAATGAAAGTTTTGCTTCCTCTAAAAAGATTTAGCTTAGTCATAAATAAATAAATAATAATAATATAGCAAAAGTATTAAACATTAAAGTCACATGAAACGAAAGTGGCAAGTCTTTTCTTCCCTATTGTGAAATATCCAAGTGAAACGGCTTCTCAAACAAGAAAAAATGTAGGGTGGGACTTAATTTGGTCCATCAGGAATAGATTGGATGGTTGGATCATTATGGTTTGCGATTGCTGTGATCTCATGTGAGTGACAGGTTGTCCTGCCCTCGCGCCAGTAAACACATCATCAGAGAAGAGATGTCATTGCAAAAGGGAGGGGAAGTTATTTTATTATTAGTACCGGTAGTAGTATTACAAGGGCACATGGATTAAAAAAAATAATGATCTGCACGGGTAAATAATTTATAATTAACAGTGCAAAAAATAATAAGAATTGTCCATTTTAATTTTATGGTGACATTAAAATGAGATTCACCACCATACCATCCAACAACCAGCTGTATTTGGTCATCTCCACCAATCTAGGCAAAAGAAGACGTGTCATGACATGATCTGGCACCAGCAATCCTTTTTTTATATACGTCTTGGCTAGAACACCAGCTTCTGCAAAAAGAAAAAGATAGTGAACTGAACACATATCTTTCAAAACAATCATCAAACCTATATGGCTATATTTCTTTAATAAGCTGTCTTTCTATAATATTTCACCAAGAATGGAAGCAGCTTAGAATTTTAAAAGACATGCTTGCAACAATTCTGCTTACGTTCATACTTTAAGTGTACATATAACCTTTAACTGAGACAAATCAATTAATTATAGGATTTTAACCAGAAACTAGATTGTTAATCATATAATAGACTGAGCAGTCACATCATGAGAGTCTTGGGACATTAATGCCCAATGATTTCATATAGAAGTTATCTACGTTGTGGATACAACGAACAAAATATGAAATATTATAAAAATCTTAATGTCACATAACACAAATTTCAAACTATGCCACAGCTAAAAGTTATAGTGTATTTTTCGAGCAGCTAAATCAACTCTCAGCCTTCAAAGATTTCAAAGACTAATGCACAAATATATATTTAGTAAACATTTGAAGAAAAATAAAATCCATTAAAGCAAAAAGTTACTTGCATTATAATGACCTAAAAAAAGTTACATTATGTTTAACCTAAGCTTTATGTTAAAAATAGATCTACCACCCAGACAACTTAACTGAGCATGAGTAAGAAGTCCATTCAAGCTAATTTATAATGAGGAAACTGAATGTGTTTAATATACAATGTGTTGATTATTACTACTTGCATGAATGCCAGCTGAAGTCTTAAGGAGGTTTGCATGGCAACAGCAAAATAAATCAAATGTGGAGTGGCATCTTGCCAGCATGGCAACTTCTAGAAGCAAATAAGCTACCTCACATGAACTCTAACTTACCACATGTATTCCAAACTGGCAGGACCAAATGTTGAAGAATCAGTCATTTGAAACTCCATTAATTTTGTATAAACCGCAGAAGTTGCTTACGCCCCTGTATATGATCAAGGCATCCCTTCTGTTTCACAGTGCATCTAGCATTTGTTAGCATCGACAGGTTTTTAGAGATAAACAGCTTCAAAGAAAACAATCGAAGGTTTGTACTTTTTTGCAAATCACGCACCAGTTTTCGCAGAGATGTTTTCTCGAACAAAGTCTCCACTGGACAAATGTTTAAGGCCGAAACTGTGCGCGATCCTCTCCGAGATGGTCCCTTTCCCCGAGCCTGGGGGACCCATGATAACAGCCCGGAATAACTTGGACATATCCTCACAGAGCTGCCCTGTGTGCAATAAAAAAAAGAGTCCAGCATTACTACTGAAACCATGCAAATCATTATGCACTTATTCCACGTCGTTTGCAACGTAGTGCGCTTTGCATTAATTACAATTCAGAGATTACAGTTCTGTTAAAAATCTTCAGTGCAGAATGAGGGATTGGGATCTGTAACATCGAATAAAACCACAAAATCACACAACAAGGAGCGACTTAAAAAGTTATAGGTCAAAAACAACAAACAAACTTACCCACCCAGAGTACTGTGCTAAAAAACTGTTATTTGCACGGTGAAAACAGAGCCCGTTGTCACACTGTTCATTAAACTCGGGTAACGTTAGCCCTTGCTTCGCTGACGCACCGCCTACTGCTCTTTATGTAGACGCGAGCGTCTCCTCTCTGCAAATGAATGGAGGAGAAACATAAACGCCCTATTATAAAACGCCTCTGGAACGGCGTCGCACTGAAAAATATAACGTAGTCTACACAAGCTGCACCGCATAGGAGTCTGGTCGTTGGAGTATTCAGTTGCATAACAAAATCTCTTTAAAACAAAGTGCGAATCATACACAGGGAATTATACGCAAAACGTTTTTTGTGATATAGGATGTGCAAATCTACAAGTGATAATGAACGAACGACAGCTATACTGTTGCTATGGTTACCTCAAGGCAAACGCGATTTCTGTTTGCGAGCGTCTGTTTACTTGCCACTAGTTCGTTGAAAAATAATCCGACTTTAATATGGTTATTTGGAGAGATTGAAGTCCGAGGCGCACATGATTGTTAGGTTGAAAGAGGATCTTTACAGAAGAACACACTATTCTATGCCATTGTTTTAGTGTGATAAGTGTGTCCACAAAATTTCAAAATGCAAAACTGCATTTCAAATGCCGGATGATGCACTTATTTACCCGGAAAGACGAAGCGTGGAACATTCGGGAACATTGGACACTTTATGCACCCAACTGTGTAACAGTTTTACTTGAAGGGATAGTTTAACCCCAAATAAAATGGTTGTACTCACCCTCATGTTCCAAACCTGTAGGCGAATTTCTTTCTTCTGTCGAACACAAAAGAGATATTTTAAAGACTGTTGTTATCAAACAGTTGTCGGTCGCCATTGACTTCCATAGAATTTTTTCCTACTATGGAAGTCAAAAGTCAACTTGGTTACCAACATTCTTCAAAATATATTTTATGTTCAACAGAAGAACGAAACTCATAAAGGGTTGGAACAACTTGAGTAAATGATGACATAATTTTCATTTTTGGGTGAACTATTAGGCTACTTTAAGTAGGGGAGGGGCTATAAAAATGGGCTTATAAAATCCATACACTAGAATATCTGCATACAGTAAATGCATATTGTAGCCTACGTCATTTGGGACTCAACTTATGTTATTCTCTCCACATGCAACTAACTCAACATATGGGTATAACCTGGTATAACTGGTGTGATATTGCCCCCTGTCTGATTTAGGACAGGACACACTTGACTGCTATGTTGGTGCAAAACATTCCTCAGATGCCACTGCATTGTTTACGTTAAAGTTTTCACAAAAAGTGCCATTGACACAGTGTACACGTCTACCACATTGATTTCACAGAGCAGTGAGAACCAAGGGGTCAGCTAGGGCCCATGGGGCCTCGGCAAATTTCTAAATGGGGCTGCAAGATGAAGATCATAATTATTAAATACATTTTATTAAAATAATATTTTTTTCCTTAAAAATCCATTTAAAAAAACCCACAAGGCTTTATGTACAAATATGTAAACTGACATATTTCATATTTTAATTTCTTATCTTAGTCAATTTTAAACAATTGTTTTATTGAATAACATAGTTCTAACTCAATCATATAAAATTAGGTAATTAGGCCTACTTGTATCTTGACACTATATTTCTGTCAATAAAAAAAGTTTTAAAAAAACAACAAAAAAAACAAGCAGCTTCGTCAAAAATTCCACAGGAAATTTCTTACATGGGTGGACTTGGCGTCAAAAATATTGAAAACCACTGAAATAGAGTCTGCTATAAACGCATTGCCAAACATTTCCGAGGTGCCTTACGGTGGCGTCAGAACATAAGAGATATTAGTTCACTTCGGGTATGCAATAGGCTATGTCAAAATCAGTCGACTTTTCAAACCTTCTATATGGCTTGGCAACAGTCATCTGCACTAAAGAAAGTGGTGAACTTTGAGCGTCAGCACCCGGAAGCGTGTTATTTTATTGTCACATGGCTTGAAGATTTCAATAACAACAAAAAATGGCGACAATCACGTTGTTCGCTGTAAGGCGCTTGCTGCGTCATTAAAAATATTCACGTAAACACGGGAGTTCAGCGTTGAAAATGCAAGTAAGTACTTTTGCAGTCGGTAGAATAATACATCTGTCTAACTGTGGTGGTGATATTACATTAATGTTTTTTTTTTACCTTAGAAGTACGTGGTGTTTGTTTTTGCTATGAGAGGGGTGTGTGCGCGCGCTGTTGGGCGTTAGCGCGCATCAGTAACGTTACTCTACAATAAGACGACTCGCAAGATATAAGACTATAAAACGAATCGACATAGCAAGTAGAAGAGCTATTTACACGCAGACTATGGAAGATACTTGTTGTGATATTATGACACGATCATGTAATACCTTTTCGTGTAATAACTTATGTATAATTTATTGCAGACTATACTGACTTTATGACGTTCTAACGGGCTTTTTGCTCAAACACATCTTGTATTCATGTATAGTTTATAAATTATATGCCTCGGATAAATTACTTTTATTTAAAACTGTAGTTTCATAAAGCAAACATTTTCCCATGAGAAGTCGCAACACACTATAACAGCGAGAATATTCCCGTTTTAACCCATTGAAATGTTTTTCTTTCCTTTTTCACCAAACAGCCGCTATAGGAATGTTAGGCAGATGTTTTGTCATTATTTGGCAGGCGTTTCCACTGTCCTGAGATGGCAAACACGACGCGCTGATGGAGTTGTTTACAAGAAGAGATTCGCACGGAGGGCGGGGATGATGTGGGCGGAGTTTGTGGGAGGAGCCCCCAAATACGAGAGCAAAGCATAGAAGGTGGAGTCAGAGTTACCATAACAAGTCTGGCGTCACAGGGGCGCTGTGTGTGTATGAATAATTAAAGCTCAAAACGAAGGTATTTAATCTCTTGCTGTCAGATAGGGAGTTGTCATTTAATGCATTGTATCCAATGAAAATATGGCATGATATTATAATTTCTGCTAGCTACACATAATAAGTTATGTTTAAAAATAAATTGCTTCATCTAGCCTACTCATTTCTATAATATATACAGTTGGAAATTTCAGGTTTAATTAGCCTATATTATTTGTTATATTTTGAATACAGTGAAAATCTAAATATCAGAGATAAATTGTGAATTTCCAAAGTCAAATTTGTTATCCCTGAATGAACGTGGATGAGAAGATGCATGAAGCACTACTGCCCTGGATCTGCTTGATGTGACAGGCTGCCCTGGTTCAGTTATCACAGTGCTGATGCTGTCCGTCTTAAAGGTACAGTACTGTGATAACTGAAGGATGGCTGCCATCTTGACATCTAGCCTCATAAAAAGTTTTTTTTTTTTTTTACAGGTGAGTAAGAGGTAAATGACAAGAGAATGAACAAAACAATACAATCTAATAAAGAGAATTGCAATCCTGCATTCATTTAAAAAAATGTCAAACTGATTGCCTTCTAATTTTATATATTACATTCTGCACATATTATGGTAGCATATGTCATCAGTCTATTGTTAAATTATATCCTCCTGGGATCTAGTAAAACGTTTTGACATCCACTTTAATATTATAGATGCTTTGAGAAATAAGACAAAAATCTTTAAAATATTTTATTCACATTTCCTTGTATTTCCTGTAGACATCAGAAACCATAAAGTAAATGAAGCTTTTTGCAAAAACACTTTGCTTGTCTATGTTTGCATTTAAAATAAAAAAAAATTTCTAGAGTTTCTTTAATGCATCCTCTGTAATGTGATATAATGAAATGTTGAAAAAGTTAAGGATTTATATTTTTTATGCACACTAGTATACATATGAATTATTTAATAGCCATTTAATGTAAATGTACTCTTACAGTAAACACTTGCAAATCAAACGTTGCACATATACTTTAGTTGTATATTAAGATATTACAAAATGTATATACGTTACAAAATTAGTTAAGTAGATACTTCCTTATGTCTTTTGCAAATTATTGTCAGAAATGGGAATTCCAATCCTTAAAACAAATGTAAATATATGTAATGTATAATAAGGCAAACTGTATACTACAAAAAGAGATGTTTACTTGCATGAAATAGTTTGAAAATCAATCAAACAGAAGTAAAAAAAAAAAAAATGCTGCTTTTTCTCTTTTCATAAAATTGTTAGCTTTTGTAACCTTATAAATGTATTTACTTGATCAATTTACTGCATTCTTGCTGAACAAAATTATTAATTTCTTTCTAATAAAAAAAACTGTTCATCAAATAATCTTTTAAAAATGTACAAAACGTTTTTCAACATTGATAATCAGAAATGTTTCTTAAGCAGCAAATCAGCATATTAGAATAATTTCTTAAGGATCATACGACACTGAATACTGGAATGATGATGCTGAAAATTCAGCTTTTACCATCACATGAATAAAATACATTTTAAAATATATTAAATAGAAAACAGTTATTTTAAATTGTAATAATGTCACAATATTACATTTTTTTTCTGTATTTCGTATCAAATATATGCAGCCTTGTTGAGCATAAGAGATTTATTTTAAAACATTAAAAAATCTTACAGATACCAAACTTTTGAATGGTATAGTGTGTGTGTGTGTGTGTGTATATATATATATATATATACATTTATTTACATATAACATTTCTAAGAATTATTTACTGAAAACTGTATTATGTTCATAGCATTTGGATGCAAACCATAAAGTTTTAAAATATATAGTATGATTACAGTGTATTCTACCCTTTTAATATACAGAAATTTCAACATGTTGTTAGTAATTTAGCCCCATGCACTATTCTCTGACACTTGCCCTATGTTATACACCCCTCTTAACACTCTTCTTAACTGATTCATCTGCTCATTTTGTAATGATACAAAGGTTGATAAGGTTAGTAATCGGTTACTGTAATAATGTGATACATGAAAATGCAATGATACAACTAAGAAAAAAAGATAAGAATTTATTTTTCAATTCGATGCTTACATATCTGATGTTTACATATGATCTATTATCTAAATATTTGTTTGTTCTGATCCCATAAAGTTTTTCTTCAGATCTATGAAAAATGCAATGCATTGATTTTAGTTGAGTGCTTATGGCAGTATTGCACGTAGACTCATCGTCACCAATTATGGCGTATGAGTCATCCAACGAAAGAAGTTTCCAACTGGACCTTCACTCCCCCTCAGTGTTTAAGTTCTATCATTATCAACACATCTTAACACACATTATCATCTTACACATCATTATCAACACATCTTAACACACAGCACAAGATGATTGTCTTATAATTGTATTTTCTGTCAACATATTATATGTAAATGTTGATACTGTATATAGACAATTAAAATATAGGCTATCTAATAGTCACTTTACTTTTAAAACATTTCAAGACCAAATATACACAGTCTGATATTGTCTGCCCGAACCTCTGTCGAACTTATAGATCAGCCACATTCTCCCAGTGTGCTCAGCAGCCCACAGTTTCTGGCAACTCATCTGATGGTGAGGACGGGAAGTCCCTCCCTTCCATGGCAGGCTTAAACCTCTTGGTCTTAAAGACCTTCTGAAATATTAGTGTAATCAGAGAGGGCTTTGTGTGTTGCCGATCTCTATTTTAAAAACACAGACATTGTTTAATGCGGAAACAGTGGCACATGCTTGATGAAATATTAGGACTTAATGTACAAAAAAATAAGTACAAACAAATACATACAAGAAGTTGAAGATTGTTATACTGGTTACAAATTTAACATTTAATTAACATTAAATGTAATTATTTTTATAATAATAGCCCATTTGTATTGCTGCAGTCTTATGAATATATTTATTATTTATGAATCTGTGAAACAACTTTCAGTGTTGTGCAGTCAATATGTTATATAGCTAGATAAAATATATAACGACAGCAATGTCTAACCATTACATTTAATTTAGCCCATTTTGAATCAATTATGGCCTTTTAAATGGTCAAGTAACATCCGGTTCAATGGACATCATTAAATCAAAATATATTTTAATCGTAGGCTACTGCACTATTTAGCCTACCTAAAGTTTTATGAGTTTGTTTTTTTAACTAATAATTTTCAAAAACATTTGAATCAGTTGGTTAAAAATTATAGGCTACATTTGATGTTTTGTGGTAAGGTATGGTGTAAATTATTTTTACATCACCTCAATACACACAGGATTAACACTAACTGTGAGTTTAATCGCCGTATCATAGTAAATGGTCTTATCTATATACGGAGGCTTTAGGGCTGTAGCCATAACAAAAAATCCACCAGCTTAATCTCCGCCCAGGGATTAATGTCATTGGTCAGGTTTTGATTGACAGCAGTATGAGCCAATAGGCAACGTGTGACAGAGCTCGTCGTTACCCTATTTTCGGGAATGTGGTCGACGCTTGACAGGAAAGGTTAGTTGATCATGAAGACTTAACCACGGTTTGTTCCACTGTAAAGTGAAGTTTGTTTTGAAAATTAATCTCGCGGGATAAATCTTATATTATCGGAGAACATTTTGGAGTTAAATAACGTGTGCGTTACATCAACAAAATACCAAGAGGAAGTGTTCAAACGTCTGTAATGATCGAAATTAAACGGAAGTAGCTTTGCCTGACGAGGTAAGGACGAGGGCCGTAACTCTTCACATCCTGACTGATCTCTGGGGGTTGTTTATATGTGTATTTTCTATTCATGTGCGATGTTAGTAAGTTGTGAGACGTTCTTTTATTAGTTTGTGTATGGTTACTGGTAAATATGTCGATCATAGTGTTCAAGGAGTAACACGTTAACGTTAGGCATTTGAGTCTATAGAACATAATCTGCAATCATTGGACTTAAATTGTAGATAATAATGCTGTCAACTTCAAACTATGGATAATAATCTATGTGTGGCCGATAATGAATGTTTTTAGAAACTGCTTGACGGTGAACGGCTGCAAAATAGTTTATTTAATAATAATAAAAAAGCTTAGCCAGACCTGCGCGATATTGAAGTTGTAAAAAAGAACCTTAGTTTTTTGTTCTATTGTTGCTAACTTGTTAAGCATTGACATTATTGTTGATGTTTTTTTTCATGCTCTGACTGTACAGTAGTTAAATGGTTAAACTTGTTGCTCTTGTGACTGCAGTTTTGTCGATATAAATCTGAACACTTGTACACAGTTATCACAAACTGTATGTTTGCTGAACAAAAGTGCGTGGGGTTGAAGTAGGCTATATTTGATGTGCTTTGTAGAGATCGGCCGAGGCTGACTATTTTTATGTATAAATGTCCGAGAATTGAAATGCAAAAGATTGTCTTAAAAACAATAATAAATAAATAACCCATATCGTAGTAGGCTATTATGAACACATAAGGCACGTTAATAATATTTAATTAAAGTTGTTTTCATATTTGTTTTGGGGGTTGTCTTGGAAAACCATGATAACATTTAAAAATGGATGACTAATTACGCTTTAACGTGTGAATATTGGTTTAAAAATAGCTATCTCTTCATGTAACGTACTCTTATCAAGTCTGATTGGCCGTCAGCACCAGTTCGATCAGATCACATTCTTTTTAATTCATTTAAACGATCATGGAACTTAGCAATGGCTACTCTTAAAAATCTAATTTTCAGAGGAAATCCGTCAGTTAACGCAAAGCTGTTGAATTGTGGTTGTCTTGACATATTTGATGATTTCTAAGAGAAACTTAAAATTTCCCCTTGTCTCTAAAAAATACATCAACTGAATATTTCCAAGTAACAGAGGGACCACAACAATATGCTATTCTTCTGCTACAGTTTGATTATGTCATCCGGACCATTTCATGCTGGTAATCTGATGCAGTATGGACAAAAGTGACTCTGTGGAAGATATTCAGTTCATACTGAGGTGTTAGTGGGGAATCCCTTTTAAATAAAAGTAAACCCTTCTCTCTCACAAAGAAAAACGGTTACAGTATGTTTCTTTCTTGTTTTCTTTTTAAATTAGTCAATTTTTATAATTTGCTAAAAATTGTCAAAATTAAGACCTTTAATTCCCATAGAGCCTATATTGGTGAGGAACTCAGTATTAAATTGCAGTACTAGCCACTTACAAATATGTATTGCAGCTAGGGCTGTGTGATATGGACAGAAAATACTACCACGATTTTTTAATCAATATTGTGATTTTCGATTTTAATCATGATTTTGAAACAATATTTCCTTAACTTGTCTTGTAGTATTTTTCGTCGAGACACCGGCTTTGACAATATTTGCGGGGACCATATCTTTGCATAAATGATACGTGACGGCGCCGTTATTTCTTTATGCCCCTTTGAACCTTTTCGTATGTTTTGCAGTTCACAATTGCCTGTATTATTTTTGTTCACCTGGTTGGGAATGTGCCATTACCTTTCTATGTGAATATGCTAGATGGACGTCTTTAACCGTTTGCAGCATGTCGTGTGAATGACACGGCATTCTGCGATGCTCAAGGTAAAATAAGTTTCAAAAAACACATCTCTAGACCTGCGTCTCATGTTTTGTGTGAATGGCCCCATACTATGTTTTGCCGTAATGATGTTTGACAGGTCAAATTACCTGGCTCTGTGATGCATCATCGCTGCATAAGGAATCAAATACTTCCCTACTATATAATAGCGAAAAACAATACACCAAAAGAGTAGTAGCCTATGTCCTAATACATAGTAATAAAAAAACAGTAGGCGAAAAGTCCCCGGATGACCTACTAGGCCTAGGCCTACTTCCTCTGAGCTTCTGAAGTGCGCATTCGGTGGACACTTTACTATCCCATGAGGCCACAGGATTTATGAATGGCAGTGAAGCGGCACAACTGACACGGTTAGGTCACGTGACAGTATATGGTGATGTATTCCATCTGAATTTCATTCACAGTACTAATATTCGTACTATATGGGGTGCCCAATCCTGCTCCTGCCGATCGACTGTCCTGCACAGTTCATCTCCAACCCCAATCAAAACACTTTAATTTTCAAGTGATCCTGAAGACCTTAATTGGTTGCTTCAGGTGTGTTTGATTAGGGTTGGAGATGAACTGTGCAGGACAGTCGATCGGCAGGAGCAGGATTGGGCAACCCTTGATATAGAGTGTACCTTTTTAATAGTTGCGAAGTAAATTCAAATGTAGTACCTGCTCAGACATTGCGCGATTTCTGACGCAGCGCATCTCTCCTGAGTCCAAAATATTCCCAACCATGGATGTTGAATTATTATTATTTTTCTTTTGGTCATGGCCTTATCCTGCCCTGAATTCACCTTGCCTGTTTCTGTGCTTTCTTCCATTTGGTAACGGTAAACCTGCTCTGTTCTGTTCTCATGTTAGATTTAGGCCACTGCATTCAGATTGCACACTGAGGGGGCTGGCGGAAAAAAATCTTGCTTTCTGCAGTTTAGAAATCGTGTGCATGCACACATTGTGATTTTTATTATGATTTACATTAATCACATAGCCCTAATTACAGTTTCATACAAATAAATTGATAAAACATTGTCAAAGGTAAGATTCATTTTAAGTCGAGTATTGACCACTCTGGTCTATCTGAAGCTCTCATCCTGATGTTGGTTAAATAAATATAGTCTTGAGAAGAGCCTTTTAGGGTATAACTGGCCTCTATACAGAACTGCCAAAAGAAAAGAAAAAAAAAAACAGATAGTGAGGTGGGTTTAGTCATAATCTGAGGGCAATGAGAAATGGCGACATCTTTGTGTGGCCGTCACTGAACATTGCAAGTGGAGTTTCCCTTTAGAATAGAACATGTTGTTCTGCATAGTGTTCTGCCAGTTAATGTTAATGTGGATTAACGAGGCCTTCATGACAAGAACAACTCCTAAATTTTTTTAAATATGTCACACATGTATTTAGTTTGCCCAGAGGCAGTTACTTTTCGGTAAAGAAAAAGTTTTCAGTCCAGTCATATGCCTCCATACGTGTCAAAACATAACAAGAAGAGATATTGCATGCTAAAATGCTAAATGAGTTTTTATTTGACAATATAATAGGCTACTGTAAAATTGAAAAGTTTGTGTGAAGACAAATGCATATCAAGGAATATAGGTCTTGATGTATTATCATCATAAGTTAATGATCAAATAATGTTCTTTTTGTTAGGTAACAATTACTTTGTAAGAATGATATCAGAAATGTAATTGTATACAGTTTGGGAAATTGTATATGTTTTCTTTAATCTTAACAATTCATTGGATGACATATTTTACATATTCTAACTCTGTTGTAGAGGAATGCTCATGTTTCTGCTCAAAAGGTTAATTATAGAGAAAAATAGCCTTAAAACAGTGTACATTTGATTTCATAATTGGTAGAATATTACAGATTATTACAGGATCAGGTAGAATAACAAAATTAAATGTTAAAATATATTTAATCCATATGATATAGATACAATAACCTTTGTGTTTACATACTATTGATATAGAAGAATATCCATGACGAAGGAAGCTGTCCATGAAAACTAAACTTACCTCTATTTGAGGTTCATTTGAAAAAGGTTTTCACTGTGGTCTGCAAACAGGATAAAACAGTTACAGGAGGTTTCTGCACCTACATGCGTTTGACGTACTCGAGCGGTCTACCAGCTGAACAGTCGCAGGGTCTAAAGCGTGGAGGAACAGTGTTGAGTTTATCAGCGAGCAGCACGTCAACACCTCAGGAAGTGAAGCCGTGTCAAGTAAACAGAAGAATAGCATTGTGAATCATACCGAAGTAGATGGAGAATCATTTTAACAGCTTGTCAAACTTAAACTTTATCCCTTCTAAAAGTTCCCAAGATAACTTAGGAGGACTGTGTCTTCTTGGATATGAGAAAGTAAAAGGACATGATTCACAGGAATCTGAAAAGGAGAACTTCTCATAAAATGCAAGTTAAAACATTATAAAGAAAAGGAACTAAATGGAAAACTTGTCACTAAACATCTGAATTGATTGCAATGGTTGGCCATTTTACAGACTGGTTGGGGGTGTCCGTAATGGTTCTGTTATGTAAGTCGAGATATCAGCAGAAAAACAAGCTTCTGCATATAAGGACTTAACTGCAGAGACAAGAGCATCAATCACCGATACTGACTGATGGATGTTTATTGAACTGCAAAACCCTGGGAAACAGCCGTTGGAATATTTCTGACGAATCGGGTACAAATAAATGCCTGAAGGAGATGCTTGACCCTTATTAAAAAAAGTCAGGTCAAACGAAATATTATATAAGCTCATTTATTTCCTATTCATCTTCAATTTAAGTTTGCGATTTTTACAACCCTATTACCAAAATTTGGGATATATTGAAATAGTTTTAAACTCTTTTATGATAGGTTTTATGATAGTCTAATAAACATTAAATGAACACAATTAAATAGACGTTTTACACTCACTCAGTAGGGGTTTCCTGATTTGGGATCAAATTGTTGTTAAATCTATATTTTCCATATATATATATATATATATATATATATATATATATATATATATATATATATATATATATATATATAATGTATGTATAAGTATTGTTACTTGTTAGATTTAAAAAAAAAAACATTTGCACATCACTTTAACATATTAAGCCAATAGTATGACATGTTGAATGATTTTAATTATCACACACATGCGTATCTAAAAGCTCTAACAAAAAAGAAATATTTTATTTATGCCTATTCTTAAGTAATGGGACACAACAAATCGTACCCTATCATTCAAAAGTACCTTCTGCCCAAGCTGTGAGGGGATGAATGTGGAGTGGATTTGTGATCTCATTATACTAATATTTCATAAAGCCAAAAAGTAGTCTCAGTTTGTTCAGCTTCTTGAATTCACTAAAGCCACTTTAAAGACAAATGTGGTCATTAACTGGTTGCAATTAGATTTCTTCAGCACAGTTTGCTTTTGCATTCATTCATCTCAGGAAAGTCCTTTCACATGCCTGCAGGGATCTTGACATCTAAACACGTCTTGACCTGCAGGGTCTAAAGGGAGATCCACTGAGTCGAAACCATCTGATTCAGATGCGAGAAACGTTCATCTTACCCTCCCTCATGTTCGCCGTAGGATGAGTGGTTGAATTAAATTGCTTCATGTGAAGGCGCCTGTCGTGAGGAGGACATCAAGTATGTTGTACTTCTATATGGTTAAAGTAATAGTCTCCAGCTAGACTCAGGGTTTGGCTTTGTCATGGACAGTATATTCAAAGAATATTCAAAATTGTTATAATGGCACATTTTATATTATAATTTAGAAAATGCAAATTGCGACATTACCGTATAATAGACTTTTTTTTCTGCTGGGATCAGAAAAAATACTTACCTGTTGATATAGCCTACTGCTGCTGTTACTCCGTCGTCATCCATTGTTGTTGTTTGCTGCCATTATCTTCATCTGCTGTCAGCTGTTAATCCACTTCACTGCCTTTTCGTAAAGTCCCAGGATTTGGGTTCAACACCCTCCAGTCCAACTTCGTCCATTACAATATGCTGCCTTTCGAAAATATCAGAAAGGCAGCTGCTTTCAAATATTCACATGCATATTCCTGCTCATACGGGTCAAATGGGCATCTTGGCTAAAATGCTTGTCTTAGTGAGCTGTTAATGTGTAAACAGTCAAAGGTATTGTAGGTAGGAATCTTATAAAAAAAACTTTTTTCCAAATTTGTTTAAACTTTCTGTATATATCAATGCATAATTAAAATGTAAGTACTCTAAAAAAGAAAGTATAAAAATCGAGTGTCTGTAGACCTCTCACGACTGTTTTAAAGACAGCTCATTATTTCCATTCACTCTACCCCCTCCCTTCTGGGCTCCTTCCAAAGCCACGCCCCAAAAACCCATGAACGCGCGACTCCGACCGCTGAGCTGAAGACCCCAAGGGGGTAATCCATCGACCGGAAGTTGAAGCCGGCCGGGTGCCGCCATGTTGTAGCAGAACTTCACTTGCGTTAGCATTTCCATTGACTCCCATTCATTTTGGCGTCACTTTGACAGCGAATAACTTTACATCTGAGGCGTTTAAAGACTCCATTTGTCCATTATTTATTTCTAAAGAAACACGACAATGTATAAAAGGCTCCATTACCTTCTATGTTACATTATGGCCCCGTAGAAAGAGATTTTGTAAAATTAGGCTAATGATTGCGTTATAACCACTCGACTCTCTGTCGCGCTGTACAGAAATTACCGTACAGACAGGAGGAGAAGCTCGCAGGCAATCGGGGGGGACGTCCCGTCAAGGGAGAAGCCCATAGATAATGAGTCCATAAAAGCAACGGAATACTTACTCCTTGTCACTCACGCCAAAGGACTCTTTGCTCAAGTTCCCCGTCTCTGCAAGATTAACGTTGGCAATTTTCACGCACAGCTACTAGAAGATTAACGTCTGTCAGACAGGTTGCTCACGTCATCAAGCTTAGTTTGAGTCTGCGCGTCAGGAACGGAAGTGCTCAAAAATCGCTAAAAATGGGCTTCAACTGTCTCAACTGAGTTCCAATGAGATGGCTTTGTCCACTTCTTATACTGTCTATGCTGAAGACGCATTATTTACCTGAGACGAGTGGAGAGGAAGGAGCGCAGTGGATATAGTGACATCATGTCAGAATCACATGTAATAAAAAAATCTAACTTTATCATTATGAACTTGAAGATAAACAAATAAGATGTATTTTAGTACTCACTATAAAGCTAGCATATTGATATTGGTAAAGTTTAAAATATATATTTATTGATTCGCTAACGAGCTATTATCTATAAGGCAAAGCTAAAAACAGGTTGCATGATACACGTTTTTCCTTTGCCATCATTTACACTGTGATGAAGATGAATTTCGTGTAACATTCATAACATATATGGTGTTCTGCATGTAAGAGTTTCCATGATGAAAGCATTGTTGACTCTGATGAGGACTACACTCCAGAGACAAGTACCGCATCGTCAGCTCGAGGACAGATCCGGGGTCGAGGGCGAAGCAGAGGAGGTCGTCACAAGGCGTCACTTTTCAGCCCCTTGAGGTCTCAGTTCTCGCCATCGCTGGAAAGCCACGCCGATATTGACACGCGTTTTATTTCGTTGTTTATCCAAAGACTTTTTGTTCATTACCTTTTCTAGTAACGTTACTGTCTTCCTTTTTTGCCTGGTTTGCCTTCGCGAATTGCATATGTGAATTTTGATTGGTCTTTCTCTGCCATTGTTTTGCTATTCCTAGGTTCCGTGCCTCTTGAATTCCTCAAATCAAACGGGTACGCGCAAGTGGGCAGGTCCTGTGTGGCAAAAGGGTGGTTGCCATGGTTGCGAGAAAGTGACAGTCGCCTAAGCCAATCCTTTGTTTCGTCCCGGATGGAAATAATGAGCTGTGTTTAGTGCAGATTAAACGGTCTAGATTCACTCGATTTTTATACTTTTTTTTTTTTTATCAGAGTACTTACATTTTAATTATGCATTGATATATACAGAAAGTTTAAACAAATGTGGAAAAAAGTTTTTTATAAAATTCCTACCTACAATACCTTTAAGTAAAGGTGTACATAACATTGTATTTGTGTCAATTTCAAAACTGTGCATTTGTCCTTGCCATGTAAATGCAATCTAATAGACCCTAATAGAATTGAAAATAGAAGCAGTTTCAATTGCGCTAAGTGTAATAAGTATTTCTTAAGCACCAAATCAGCATTTTAGAATGATTTCTGAAGGATCATGTGGCAGTAACATTGTAATAATGGCTGCTGAATATTTAGCTTTGCCATCAGAAGAATACATTACATTTTAAAATAAATAAAAATAGAAAATAGTTATTTTAAATTGTAACTATATTTCATAATATACTGTTAAGTTTTTTTTTTTTTAATCAAATAAATGCTACCTTAGTGAGCATAAGATGCTTCTTTCAAAATCAGTCAAATCTATTTATTATGGTTAATTTAGGCATGACGGTGTTAAAATGTTATTGATTTCCATCATAGCAGGGGCCAACAGTTCATCAATAAATCTGTCTGTTACCTCCTTTTATCTTGCAGTGTCTGGATGCTTAAACCAACAGTCATGGAGCTGGGCAAGCTATGTGGGAAGATGAAAAAACAGAGGAAGGCAGAGATGACCGTTCCGACTGTCAGGAAAGGACTTGAGATTTACTTCTACCTGCCTGAAACACACCAGCTCGAGTACTTCAAAGACTGCCACACTGCGGAGGACCTGTGCGTGGAGGCTGCCAAGAAATGCCGTAAGTGTTTGGACGGCCGCCTATTTAGAGCACCCTCTAATGCATCTCTCAGGACATAGAGTGTGCTCATGATGGACTGGTCTGTTTTCTTAGCAGTGATGTATCATTTCTAGTGGTGCACGATATATCGGCCGCCGATATGGTCAATTTTTTACACATCGGTATCATTCCGATGTCAACATAGGTCCGATGTGAACAGGCCAATAATCATTCCTGTGTATTTGACGTGTGTGTAGATGTGAGTGTGGGGGCGGGAATGTTTGTTTTTGCACGAGCGCATGTATGAGCGCAAGTCCTGTAAGTTCAAACATCAAGCGCAAGAAGACTGGAACTTGCGCGCTGTTTTCTGTCATAGCCCCGTTCACACCACCAGCGATTTTGTCGCTACATGTCGCTAGTCTCTGTACTGTGAAGTCGCTTGTGGGCGTTCGTAGTGCTGTCGCTCTAATGTTATTAGTAGACTGCACGTCTAGCCATATATCTATACAAAATACCATCAGAATTGACATATACAACTATATCATTTTAATTTGACTAGGAATTAGGCTCAAAAGAAACCGTATGCTGTTGGGAGAGTGTTTTTATATTACCACAGCAGTGTTCAGTGGATTAAATAATTTACTAGATTAACGATCGACCAATCAACAAATTAAACTCACTCATTCTGTCATAAATTACTAAAACGTCATTCGAATTTGACAAATAATCAATTTTCTTGTCCCTAATAGTCAACATAATGCAGGGAAACTGTAAAATGATCTGCAGCAGTGCTAAACTTGCATCATAAAATTACAACACTCGAACTATAAATGTATATGAATTAAACTCACTGAGACTGTCGACAGTTTATTTTCCATTCGTCATTTTATTATATCCATGTATGTGGTTACAGTCAAATCATATAAAACAGTGAAATCTCCCACAAACTCTTCTGTCTTGCCTGCACTCCACGTGAGCTCCACTGAAAGTCTTTCCTATTGGTTGTCGCTCGCGAAAATCGCTTCTCATTTGCATAAAGTTGAAATTTCTCAACTTTTGTCGCTTGTCTCTTGTCGCTTGACACGCCCACATTCTGTCGCCAACGGTCACTGTCGCTCGTGTCGCTGGATGTCGCCAGCACTCCATTGAAATGAATGGGATCATGTCGCTTTGTCGCTGCGTGTCGCAGGCGGTGTGAACGGGAAATAAAGGCGTATTTTTATCCCGCCAATTTGACCGGTGAGTGATGTAGATGAGTGATGTAGATGACTGACTGCTGCGCTTGTTTAACTGAGAGAACGAGCAGAGAGAGTGAAAGCCCCGGTCGCGCGCGCGCGCACTCACCGTCTTCAGCCCCGTTCACACTACAAGCGACTTTGTCGCTGCATGTCGCCAGTGGCTGGCGATAAGGTCGCTAGTGGGAGTTCCCACTACTGGTTGCCTTTATGAATGACATCCAATGATGTGGAGAAGGATCATATGCGCTCCGCTCCTATTGGTTGTCGCTCCCGAAAGTCGCTCCTCATTTGCATAAAGTTAAACAGATCTCAACTTTGTCGCGTCGCCAGACACGCCCCATCCGGTCGCCAACGGTCGCTGTCGCGCGTGTCGCCGGAAATCACCAGCTCAAAGTGTCTTGCTCTCTCTCCCTCCCATATTAATGAATTGAGTTGACTGAATATCTTTGAGAATACACGATGGTAAAAGGTCGGAAGACCGAAGTTTTTTTTTTTTTTTTTTAACTACCACTGGTTGTGAATTGTGCTAAAATAACGTTGCCTTATCTTCTCTGAAAAGCTTTCCACACATTCAGATGACATAAACCACACTTTCAATAAACAAAAAAAAATCTATCTAGTGATGAAATCTTGTGCGATGTCCTAAACTGCCTGGATAATCACACAACGTGTGCCGTGGTTCGTTAATGACACTTCCGATTCACGAACTAATGACTCCTTTGAACCGATTCACTTTAATGAATGGTTAAAACAACTGATCTGTCCACCACTGAACTCAAGAGACATAAATCGGAAAACACTTTACAATAAGGTTCCATTTATTAAAGTCTAGTTAACTACATAAGTTAACATTCTATTAATATTAGTTTCTATGCGGATTTACTCCATGACAAAACCACCCCAGTCATTCTATGAATGATTCATTGATTCATTCTTTCCAAATAGAGCTATTCAAGTCATCTGGTGAAATTGTTTTTTATATCGCAATATATATCGCAGAAAAATAAAATATCGCAATGTAATTTTTTACCAATATCGTGCAGCCCTAATCCTCGCTTTGTTTTCTATACAGAGATATCGACATCGGTAAATATCGGTATCGGCCATAACAGCAATATTAATATCGGTTATCGTATCGACCACAATTTTCACATCGGTGCATCACTAATCGTTTCATCATAACTTTTCGGACGGGAATAGTTTTCAAAGCAAAGTTACAATTATTAACACAGAGAAACAACGGACACCATGGTAAATATGCAATACTAACATGAATTGTAAATTAAACGAATGGAAACTGCTCCTGATGAATAGAATGAACATCATGCACAGTACCTGCATGCGAATCCTTCCTGGGCCGGCTAACACACAAAGTACAAGTTATGTAGTTTATTGGTACTTTTTGGTAATTTCATGACTAATTGACAGACTAACTATGATGTTGCATGCTCGTTGTTTCTTTTGCGCTTTGTTTATAATGAAGTGATACTGTACAGCACGCTCTGCCGCATTTGCATGTGCAATTGAACAGCATGCGCTACAAGCAAAGTATAATGGCTAAAAGGACAGCAAAGTTGGCTTTTTTTGTGGTGAAAGACTTTTTATTTCGTAACAAGTTACGAAAATAACGTTAGAATAAAGACACTGGCATATAGCCTAACACCATCTCATCTGACTGGAGACACTGAAACAGAAGGACAGAATCAGGACATCGTGTTTCTCTCTGGCACGGTGTCTAATAATTTCACGCACGTCTTTCAAAATAAAAGTCTCGCATCAGAAAAAGACAATTACGCTTGTTGTTGTTTCTTTGACTGCACACTCCGTGACCCACTCAAAACAGTCTTGCGACCCACCAGTTGAGAAACATTGCGCTATAGAAAGGGAAATGGATTACTGAAACACAGGTTTTTACAGATCAAAGTCAACAGGCGTATAAAAAGGGGCATTCTTCATGCATTCGGTTTCATGTTTTGATTGTGCGATTGAGGAATGGGGTTTTTGTACCATCAGCATTTCACAGAATACAAAAGAGGAACTTAAAGGGTTTTTACTGTTGGTATCATCATGTGACATGGGTGATGAGAAGCACTGCGACTGACTATCCCTGTCCATCCCTTTCCATCTCCTAATAGAACAGCATATCTCTCTATTTGGCTCTTGATCAGTATTAAGCCACACAATGGCTGCTGGGTTTAAACGTCACGTCCAGAATTTCCTCAAAGTTGCGGCCAAAGACAGAAGCTGGCTTGGACAGTGAGATAGGAAAGGGAAGTTTTTATTAGACAAGAAGGCAGCTGCTGGAGAGAAACTACGATGGTGTTTGTTTCATTTTATTTTCACACCCAGTAGTTAGCCACTGGTTTTACTTCAAAGGTTAGGAATTCTGTCCAACCCCCCTTTTTTTTTAAATAAAATTTTTACTAGTTCAGCTGATAGAGCATCGCACTAGCAATGCCAAGGTTGTGGGTTTGTCTCCCAAGGAATAAATGTATACGTTGAATTAACTAAGTCGCTTTGGATAAAAGTGTCTGCCAAATTAATAAATGTAAATGACAATGTAAAAATAAAAAAATAAATAAAAAGTTAAGGAACCTATTTCAAAGCAAAATTAGAGTAATAATTTTCTTGTTCGACTTAAACTTATTTTATTTTAGCTTGTTGTCAAGGCAACATTTCTCATTTTCATTTAGTTTAACTTGATGTACTAATTAACTAAAACTGAAATAATATTGAAATGAAGAAAAAAAAAAAAAACTGTAGACATAAGTGACCAAACACAACAAAATATGAAATTTTGAAATAAGAGACAAAATATTTCACTTTAATGAAAATGAATATATATATATATATATATTACACACACACATTAATTAAAACAAATTATATTAAAATTTGTTTTTTAAAATTCCTCAAACTTTGCGATCTGACTCTTGTTTTCGTCAGGTTTAAAACTAATATCAAATTTGTCTTTTTCCTTTTTTACAGGAGATGTTCAACCTTTGACACTTTCGTGTTATGTTCCAGTAATAGCTTGTTATATACCTTTTAAGACTTTTCTCATAATCATTTAGCTACCATTTCCTTTTATGTATTATATCCGTTTGTTAGATGTCACCAGCGAATAACCACCTGTGTATTTAGTTTTCTTTTTTTTTTTTCAGCCTCTTAACTGTGCTGATGCATTGTGCTATCTAGTGAGAAAAGGGAACCATTTGAATCAGGCTCTAATTTTGAAAATGTTTTCCCCCAGACATCTCACCTTTGTGCCACAACCTGTTTGCACTGTATGAAGAGAGCCAGGATCTCTGGTATGCTCCCAATCATGTGTTCAAGATCACAGAGGAGACCAGCATCAAACTCCACTACCGTATGAGGTGAGAGACCACAAATGAATGCTTTACACAAAAATTGAGGACTGCTGTTCAAAAACCCCATTAGAAATTCCAGAGAGAACCCATGGCTCAAATTCGAGTTTAAGGACTACAGACTGGACCGCTATTACATTTATATTGTAGGTTCAATAATAAGATAGTTTCTTTTTTATTGTGATTTTGAAGAGGGAAAAAATTCTGGACATGTTATTGGTTTGGTGAAATGTATCATTTGATGAGTTTTTATTTTATTTTTAATATGAGCTTTTATTTTCATTCAAATGCTAGAAATGCATATGGTCTCTTTACAGAGCCCTGTGGAACACCTGTGTCACATCTGTTACAATCCCTATTTAGGACAAAAGAAAAACTTGGTTTTCCAAGCTTGGGTTTCCACTTGAAAAAAATAAACAAAGTAACAAATCGTCTGACAGTGAAAGACATTTTTTTGTTCAATAAAATGTGAATCTTTGCAAAGCAGAACATAGGATCCCCTGAACTTCCCCTTTTCACCAGTGAAACTAAGATAAGAGCCAATTATTGTATTCAAAGCGAGCAGTGGGTACAGAATTGCTGTCTCCCTGTGTGAAGCTTACCTGTTGTGCGCACAAACAGGTTATGGTCAACCTTTGCGCACCCTCTCTTCCTCTGTGGCATAGAGCACTTTTTTCTCACTCATGCTGTTTCCTGTTTACAATGAGCTCTCGCTCGCGTGGCAATGGGGTCGTGTAGTTTTTCTTTTTTCTGTTGATTGTTGACACATGATTTGGTATTGCGTGTAGCATATGTTAGTATATTTACACAATGTAAGCCTTTGTCACAATGTTTGTTTGGCATGTTTTTATATGTTATCAGCTCCTGTCATCATGATTTTATAACTGCATTCATAATCACACGCACACACTTGAACATATTTGTATACTTTTTTACTTAATTTCTCTTTTGAAAAATATACAAGGGTTTTTCTTAAACTACTATATACTATATTGCCCAATAATACAAAATATATTTTAACTTTTTTTTGGCGTAAGTTGACAGAATTATTCAGTTCACTAATATTTACCTAAATTTGTCATTGTTTTATTTATGTAACGCATCTCATATTTAATTTTGCATATTGCATGATCTTCCCTGCTGCTGTTGCCTCCTTGGTAAACAAGTGCACTAATTTTACAAAAATACAACCAACATTTTAACAAAAGTTAAAGTATTTTCACACAATATATATTACAATGATTAATGTAAAATGTTATCATGAAAGGCATTTGAACAACAGCAATAAGTAAATGAATACATATTGAAAATGTTCCAATGTGACCTTCATATAACAGGAAGAAAAAGTTTAAATGCGTTTGTTAGTGTTAATACAAATCAACCCTTTGGACAGGAAAGTACCCTTAGTTCAAGAAACACTTGTCAATTCTTTGACAACTCATACTTGTTTACACAGGTTTTATTTCACAAACTGGCATGGCACCAATGAGACGGAGTCTCCTGTTTGGAGACACTCACTGAGTAAGAAAGGTGTTTTGAACTCTCAGAAGGGGCCTGAGGGGACACCTCTACTGGATGCTGCATCTCTTGACTACCTATTTGCACAGGTGAGTTCAGGAACCACCTGAGATATCATTTGCATGGTTGTCCATGTCACAATGTGAACTTTGAGGTAAACATAATACATATTGCCCGTTTTGTGCTACAGGGGCATTGTGGCTTGATGACTATTTAAATACTCTCTCATGTGGTATCGTTTGTTATCATTTTGGTCGTTATCTTTGAATTTTATATATATTTAAATGTCTTTTTTTGGAGCACTGCTACTTATTCAAATATCTCTGGGGCAATGTGAACACTAGTTTCTATTAGCTTGCGTTTGTGATCATATAAACATTTTGTGCTTGGCATACACTGTGTTCTTACTGTTTTGGTGTGTTTTAGGGCCAGTATGACTTCCTGAGGGGACTGGCTCCTGTGCGCTCTCCCCAGAGCGAGACGGAGCTTCATGAGATAGAGAACGAGTGTTTGGGAATGGCAGTTTTGGCTATTACCCATCATGCCAAGGGCAATGACCTGCCCTTATCAGGAGCTGGAGCTGAGACCAGGTGACCCACACAATCTATCTGCTTTATGTATCACATCTGCAAAATGATCTACAGCTATAATATAAGAATAGCACTCCCAAATATTAGTCTTTTATTACACAGCTCTCTGGAATACTTGATTCTGATTGGTCATACTTGATGTGCGGTCACATTAGAGAAATTTTGCGAATAAATTGCATGCAAAAACAGGTCCATTGTCAATAGCATAGCATGTATGAAGCCTATTGGAATGACTGGATTTTGTTAACAAAATTTCATTGAGCAATGATAAATGTGACCACATCTTTCAAGTAAGTGGTTTTATTCAGGTTTTATCCTTCTCTCTATCTGTAGCTACAAGCGCTTCATTCCGGACAGTCTTAACCGCACCATTAAGCAGCGGAACTTTCTCACACGCATACGCATCAACAATGTCTTCAAGAATTTTCTCAATGAGTTCAATAGCAAGACCATCCAGGACAGCAACATTACCCTCTATGACCTGAAGGTCAAGTATCTTTCCACTTTGGAAACGCTGACCCAGGGCTTGGGTCAAGAGACTGTTGAGCCCAAAAGCCTGAAGGTATCAGGCGAGAGTGAGGGCTCTCCGGCCCACACACTTCCCTTAGGGGATGACGGACGGGGCTATGAGGTGCAAGTATCCGGGACCACTGGGATCTCCTGGAGGAGAAAGTTTGTACCGGTGAGTTTATGGCTTCTGATTATGTGAGTTTACAGATTTGTAATAGCTTACAAGTTAATCAGCAATCTAGATACACTTGGAATTGGATTTTATTTTGTTTCAAGTGTTGTTACCAATGTATTTTTTTTTTTTTTTCCGTCTTGATTCCTTTTTAATAGAATCTTCTGATAGTGAAAGACAAACCCAAGTCTAAAAAGAACAAGGCTGACAACAAGCAGAAGACTGAAAAAAAGAAAGAAACCGGATGGACAATTTTCTCAGACTTTTATGAAATCACCCACATTGTCATTAAGGAGTCGTGTGTAACCATTTACAGACAAGACAATAAAACCATGGTAATTTTGTAATTTCAATGAGATTTTAATGAGACCAACATCTGCATCACTATGTCCTAACCAGGTGCAATTCAATTCCAGCACAAGCAGTTAATATATTCATGTTGAATATTATACTGTCAAAGCCAATCAGAACATATTTGATATAATGTAATTTTATGTGGATTCTGATTTTGGACCAGTTAGATTTAACAATGCGCAGTGCTTCCCAGCATTGCAATGTTTAGTAGAATTTTATCATCAAAATATCTTGTCACTTGTTGTGGTTGTGACAAGTTAGGACAAGAACTCTGCACCTGATTAGGAAATGGTAATACTTCCATACATCTCTTGAAAAGCTGATGATTCATACTCGTATGATTGATAAATCAACAGGATTGACTTCAGAATTCATGTGAAGAAAAGTAACGGATACATTATAGCTCTTATCCTAAAAATGTATTCCTCTTCTTTCCTCTGCAGGAGTTGGATCTGTTTTTTCGTGATGCAGCCCTGTCCTTTGCTGCAATGGTGGACGGTTACTTCAGATTGACTGTAGATGCCCATCATTACCTGTGCACTGAAGTCGCACCCTCATCAGTTGTCCAGAATTTAGAAAATGGCTGTCATGGGCCTATCTGGTATGTAAAAGACAAGTAAAAGCGTGCTAAAATAAGATCAAAGAAAAGATTACAAACATAGGAAAACAAACTACAATAGAACAAAGACACAAATAAAATAGACCTACCAGCACATGAAATACTACATAAATTGTATAAAGTAATCAAATGTGTTAATAAACACTGCATAGTCTTCACTGTGTAAATTATACATACATTTATTCTTATTAAAGTTACAAAAGTGATTCAGTCAATATCAGTGAGATTTTTCAGTTTTTTTGTTTGATTAATGACACAGACGACAGCAGGTATATTAGGCTACTGTCACTTTAAGAACGAATGCACTGTTCCAATATACTGATTCACATGCGTTTTCTTTCTCAACTGTTTACATTCAATCAAGACTTTAATGACTGTTTATGACAATACTTGCAAAGACAGGCATTTTGACATGTAAATATGTGTGTTTAACCATGCAAGCCCTAATTAGGCGGCAAAAAGAACTTGTGCGCTCTATGCGCTTCTATTAATTGAAGAATCCTGGAATAAAGTATTATGGTTTCCATAAAAAATTTTAAAGGAGAACTCCGGTCAATTTTAACATTGAGCTCATTTTTTTGTACATTTGGAGTCCTGTCAGTACAGACAAAAATCGGTGTTGCCTACACCGTGTTATCCTCTTTTTAAAATTCGCACCCTGTTGACTTCAATGGGGCAAGTTCTAAACCTGCTTTTAGCCTCTTAACAACCTTAATGTGTCATTACAAGTGCACAGCCATGTGAGTGGTGTTATTAAGAGTGACCACGGTCAATCTGACTGCAGTAGATGTGCAAGATATTAATAAAAATGATGTTAATTAAGCCAGCTCACATACCTGTATTTACTTCCTGTTTACGTTCGAAGTCCACAGTAGTCGATTGTCGAGTTCGCGCGCGCGATCATTGGTAACTAATATAACTAATGATCGCGCGCGCGAACTAGACAATCGACTACTGTGGACTTCGAACGTAAACAGGAAGTAAATACAGGTATGTGAGCTGGCTAAATTAACATCATTTTTATTAATATCTTGCACATCTACTGCAGTCAGATTGACCGTGGTCACTCTTAATAACACCACTCACATGGCTGTGCACTTGCAATGTCACATTAAGGTTGTTAAGAGGCTAAAAGCAGGTTTAGAACTTGCCCCATTGAAGTCAACAGGGTGCGAATTTTAAAAAGAGGATAACACGGTGTAGGCAACACTGATTTTTGTCGTTTTTGTCTGTACTGACAGCACTCCAAATGTACAAAAAAATGAGCTCAATGTTAAAATTGACCGGAGTTCTCCTTTAAGCATCGCAACTGTTTGTAACAACATTGATAATGATAAGAAAAGTTTCTTGAGCACCTTCTCAGCATATTAGAATGACTTCTGAAGGATCAAGTGACACTGTAAACAAGAGTAGTGGCTGCTGAAAATTCAGCTTCAAATAAATAAAATCAAATAAATTGCATTAAAAATAAATAACTGTTTATATATATATGTTGAGCATAAAAGACTTCTTTGAAAAACATTAAAATACCCGAACTTTTGAACTTTGTGATAAATGCTACTTTAATTAGTATTAGTTTGTATTACAGCTGTCTTCAAAGGAGACATTTTAAGACTTAGTTATGTCTGTTTTCTTTGTACAGCACAGAGTATGCAATTCATAAACTCCGTCAGGAGGGAAATGAAGAAGGAACCTACATCCTGCGCTGGAGCTGCACAGATTATAACTACATCATCATGACTGTTGTCTGCATTGAGGTACAAACACATGCATGCACACACCAAACACAAAAGTCTAGTTTGATTTGCACAGCTGATAACCATTTTGGTAAGCTAGGAACTTAAAACCTTTGTCCTGTCCGTTTAGCCTGTACAGGACAAGTCTAGAATTGGCCAGATTCTCTTTTGGTATTCTCTGCAGGGAATTAAGAAGATCTGGTTCTTGTTGTACACTTTCCCAGACCATGACAAATAGTTTGTGTTCATATGATTGATATATATTGCATTGATTCTCTCAAGTATTGCAGCACCCAGTTTTAGCAGAAAGTCAGTGTGAAAATGCTTTTATAAAGTTTGGCATCTTGCAGCTTTATTGTTTGTATCTTTGAGTAAAAAATTTGGACCAGATTAGACCAGGATAATGCATGCATTTTCAGATCATTTTCTTTGGCAGTTATTTTTCAATAAGAGAGAGAGCTGTATTACACTGTATAAGCAGCTGGAGTAGAACCCCAAACCACGTTGGGGCTGTTACTGTTACACATACTGGATCAGAGACTGATGCACTTGCATTGCTTTTCTGTGATGACTCCCTTGTTCAGCATGCTATACAAATAGAATTGATTTGAATGTACCTGAATTGATCAACAGAAGGTGTGTGAGCTTTTTAAATAAGGCTGAATGTCTTAACAAATAATTGAAGTGCACACATGGTGTCATGCTAGGTTTCCTGTAAATTTTAAAGTCCCCCTGTAGTCAATAATTTTATCCCTTAAATCTCATCTTTAATCAACAAAATTACATATTACTTCATGCCTTAAAATAGCTTAAATGTATGTGTAAATGTCAACATGTAAATTAGCCTCGCCTCCACTTAATAGCAAGGTCAGAATACCTGATCCACTTGCTCAACTTTTCTGTAGTAAACGCTGCACAATGGCAAGTGGAAATACCGGTTTAATTCAGCCTTATATGTTTGAACCAGAAACAAATTCAGAAGAAGTAGAAGAGGGAATTATACAGGGTCGTCTACAAGTCGACGTATCAGAATAGTTGTGCGTTTTATGTATTGCTCTTTACAATGTCGGGCACATAATGGTAATTAATAAATTTAGCCTTTTGCTTGACTACGTTATCAAATAGCTAATAATGTGTTGGTAATGTTACATAAACCATGTTCCCATCCGCCATCTCAGTCTGCCTTCTAAAAATCAATATCCTTAGAAACGGTTGTAACTAACGTCAGTGGAGAAATGCATGGTTGGTGATTGATTGGTTGGTTACAAGGCAGTTTGTGACGTCAGAAACATCATTTCAAATGTCTTTTTTTCACTGCAGTTTTAAGGAGAAAATTCTCAGCAATGGTGTTGACATGAATATGCACATGATTTGTCTTGAAGCATGTTAAAACACCACATAGACATATAAACAACAATAAAACCTTCAAATGTTATCAGCATTATGTACTATATAGCTAGTCACATTTAGAAACCCAACACCTCCCCACCAACCAAGAAAAAAATTTATCTTATCTTACAGGGGATCAGTTTATGGCCACCTAACATTTGTTTAACAAATCCTGTTCCCTTCACCATTCTTCTCATGTAGGATTTCTCTTGTCTTTATTTCCTTTGTGCTTAATCATGTTTCTGTCTGTCATGTATTTCTCCTCTCGCTCTTTTAGATGGACCTGTGTGAGTCCAGGCCGATTCCCCAGTATAAGAACTTCCAAATTGAAACAAGCCCTCAGGGCTACAGACTGTTTGGGACCGAGACGTTCCGGCCCGCTCTAAAGGAGCTTCTGGAGCACTTGCAGGGCCAAAACCTGCGCACAGAGAACCTGCGCTTCCAGCTGCGCCGCTGCTGCCCACCACAACCCAGAGGTACCAACACTCGCTCGGCTCAATCAGTCACATGATAGAAGACCTTCTATGCATTATCATTGAGCGACACCGCTAATCCATCCGTATATTCCTGTATCCTAATCATCCATCCATCCATGAATTCATCCATCCATTCTAATCAAACATTCAAATATATCTATCCCAATTAAACACTTTTCAAGCATTGATTTGACTGTCCGTCCATCCATCCATCCATCAATCCAGATTAAAGACTTCGTCCGTCCGTCCGTCCATACATCAGTCTGTCCATTTTATGTTTTTAGAGGCAAAATTATGTAAAGACTCCTAATTTCATATTTTCTGTTGCCATATGTTCTGTAGGTTAAGCTAAACTGGAAATGTGTCCTGTTTTACTTTGATTTAAAGGACATTTAATACACAGCCTATTTGGATAGGATGGTGTTTTCCTGTAGAAACCCCTGAAAATTTCTCTGTGAATGGTCCTGTCTTAAACGGAAACTGAAATCAGAACTCGTTGCTTTGTCCAGTTTACTGAAAGCTTCTAGCTGAATTGTCAGGATTTTCCAGTGTTCAATGTGCACTGCTGAATGCATGCAATGCAATTATTTATTGAATCCTAGAGTAGTTATTAGGATGCGAAAATTTGGGTTTGGAGTGTGAAGTACGCTGTTGACATGTTTACTAGCCTTTTTTTGTCACCCATAATTGTTACCTGTAGCATCTGTTGAAATACCAATAAAACCCACCAACCTCAATTTTGTATTAACATGTTAATTTTCAGGATGACTAATCTGACTAGTTTTCAATAAATATACAAGTGAAAATTTAGACAAATAAAATGTAAAGCTTAAGAGTATATAAGTGCTAATAATGTAAATGGACTAGAAAGAATGTAAAATCACATAAAATCAGTTGTATCACTGCTCTGATTCAGTCTTTAAAGCTTATAATCATCTAGTTGACTTAGTTTGAGCCTAGAACAGGAAATGACATGCCACAATGAAGAAATTGATTTGGCATTATTTTGATTTAACTGGTAATTCAAATTTTAAATTTAAATTTGTGCAAATACAAAAATTATTAAACTTAAAATGTAATCTGTTCTTCATACAAATCGCATGTATGGCTTCAGAAGATTAAATGTAGTGTGTCAGTATGATATACAAATCTATGGTCTAGATATAGTTAGAACATTCTTCAGAATATTTCTTTTGGTGTTTCACATACTCATGTTGTTTCAAAACATTCTTCATTCGGAGTAATGAGAGAAAGTACTATATCTTTAATTATAGAACCATCTCTTATTGTATCTGCTTTCATTATTATACTTGCTGTTTGCTAGAATGGTACATTATATAATAGGAAATAAATTAATGAAATTTTTTAGGTAGCGAGTAATGATGTGCTAACTTAGCATATACGATGTAGGGGTAAGTAAACACAAGTAAACGAATAAGTGGTGTTAATTTTCATAACATGAGTACATGATTATTTATGACTCTTCAGTTTCTATGAATTTAGACCTAAGTGAGAGATATTGAGATTTTCTAAGTTCACAGAACAAATGAACATTCCTGTGAGTTGATGTGCAACATTGTGACGGGGAGGGTTTTATACATGTCTGCTCAAGCGCAATAAAACTTCACTATTTGGAATGCATTTTCAGTTGCATTGCATTGCTGAAAATTCCATATGCGACACTTTCCAAACTCCATACTTCATGAAATGACTTTCTCGTCTTTTTTTTTTTTTTATCTTCTTATCGTCTAAATCTTATAAGCATGTACATCTGTACAAGAATCTTCAAGTGTTTTTGACTGGTTTTGGCTGAAAGAGGAATTGTTTTTTCTAGTGCTTTGTAAGTGTCACAATACTCTTTAGAGAAGTCAAAAATCAGAATGCGCAAACAAGCAGTCATATCTTTGCATGACCTCTGGTAACTGTGCAACTGGCAGCTAATAGTTGTGCAGTCTCGTATATTAAGCAACTCATCCAGGATCAAGGGCTGTGTTCACAAAACATTTTATCTTGCAACTAATAGTTCTCCTAAATAACAGTAAAAGTTATTAGATAAGAGTTTCCTCTTAAAACCTATTCACAAAGCTGCTGAGACCAACTTTTACTAAGGAATAAAGAGAAGTCTTAAACAAAAAGTGAGGTTGACATCCTTGCTATGGATGATGTCAACATGCTTAACTATGCACACAGTGATTGGCTGATGGGTAGGAGTCTCTGTCAATGATTTAATCATAGAAATATTGCAGAACGAGGTATCATGTTGCCTTTTTTAAAATGGAGGTGTCTAAGTCTAATCTAAGTGTCACTAAGTAATGTTCAGGGCCCGTATTCATAAAGAATCTTAATGCAAAGAGTAGCTCCTAGTGACGAAAATTCTTAGAAATGTGGGCGTTAACTCTTAATATTAAATAAAAAATCCTAGTTAAGAAAAAAGTAATTCAGAAAGCATATTAAAGGACAAGTTCGGTATTTTACACTTAAAGCCCTGTTTTAAGATCGTTTCTGATGAAATAGAATGGTTAAGATTAAAATTTGGACACATGCTGCTGGCCCAAGAATTTACGGTTTCTGTGGTTGCAAACAAAAATCGCTGCAAAAGATGCTTTCCAACAGGTTTTATCGTAGTTTTTGTCCAACTCCATTGACTTGACTTGGACAAAAACTACGATAAAACCTGTTGGAAAGCATCTTTTGCAGCGATTTTTGTGTGAGCAGATCAGTGAACACCCCTGACCACTGTGAGTTTCACGTCTTTGTAGACTAAAGTTTAATGCGTTTTAGGAAGGATTGTTCCTGTGCACCTATGCAACCATTGTAGAGGTGGGGGGGTGCAACCACAGAAACCGAACATTCTCGGGACAGCAGCATGTGTCCAAATTTGAATCTTAACCGTTCTATTTCATCAAAAACGATCTTAAAACAGGGCTTTAAGTGTAAAATACCGAACTTGTCCATTAACATTTAAAAGAGGTCTTAAGGTCAAAATTGTTAGGAGTATGGACGAGGACTTTTAAGAGGCTTAAGAGTTTCTTTAGCAGAGGAGAAAATGGCAGAAAGACAAAGAGGGAGAAGAAATGTTTTGCAGACAATGGATTACAGTGAGTTAATAAGATGCTATAGATTAGATCGTACAGGGATCATGTTTGTGACAGATCTTATTAGAGACACGCTAACATCTCAGACACAACGCAGAAAAGGCCATAGCGCCAGAAATTAATCACTACATTAAGATATTTGGCAACTGGGAAAATGCAACAATGCAGCAGTGATGATTTGGTTGTCAAAACCTTCTGTAAGCACTGCAGAGTTATCACACAAACATTACAGCACTTTCAGAACCTCTTACTGTGTCGCAGTTCATTTCGTTTCGACTGGACATTCCCACCTTGCAGGCTCAAAAAGCTGCATTTATGAATATAGCAGGCTTCCCTGGTGCGCACAAGCAGGGGGAATTATCCGTTAATATTGTGCGTTATAAGCTCCCACATCGGCTTCTTGCCCCGTGCTGTGACACCCTGCCCGAATTTTCCTTTAAGGATGGCCTTGTTTTCATCCACTAACTGGGCTAACAGTAACCACAGTTCCTCTGTCTAGTTGGGCATTCTCGTCCTTCTTGTTTTTGATTCCATGTTTGCTAAATTAAAACCAACATTAAAACCACCACTTAAATAGACAGCAATCAGTGTAATTGGAAAGAGTGGAACAATTTTTATCATTCTAAGCCAATCAAATACCTTATAGGAAATTAACAGCATGGTAAAAAAGAAAAAAGTATTCATATACATAAATATACATATATATACACTCACCGGCCACTTTATTAGGTACCCCATGCTAGTAACGGGTTGGACCCCCTTTTGCCTTCAGAACTGCCTCAATTCTTCGTGGCATAGATTCAACAAGGTGCTGGAAGCATTCCTCAGGGAGTTTGGTCCATATTGACATGATGGCATCACACAGTTGCCGCAGATTTGTCGGCTGCACATCCATGATGCGAATCTCCCGTTCCACCACATCCCAAAGATGCTCTATTGGGTTGAGATCTGGTGACTGTGGAGGCCATTTTAGTACAGTGAACTCATTGTCATGTTCAAGAAACCAATTTGAAATGATTAGAGCTTTGTGACATGGTGGAAGTAGCCATCAGAGGATGGGTACATGGTGGCCATAAAGGGATGGACATGGTCAGAAACAATGCTCAGGTAGGCCGTGGCATTTAAACGATGCCCAATTGGCACTAAGGGGCCTAAAGTGTGCCAGGAAAACATCCCCCACACCATTACACCACCACCACCAGCCTGCACAGTGGTAACAAGGCATGATGGTTCCATGTTCTCATTCTGTTTACGCCAAATTCTGACTCTAACATCTGAATGTCTCAACAGAAATCGAGACTCATCAGACCAGGCAACATTTTTCCAGTCTTCAACTGTTCAATTTTGGTGAGCTCTTGCAAATTGTAGCCTCTTTTTCCTATTTGTAGTGGAGATGAGTGGTACCCGGTGGAGTCTTCTGCTGTTGTAGCCCATCCGCCTCAAGGTTGTGCGTGTTGTGGCTTCACAAATGCTTTGCTGCATACCTCGGTTGTAACGAGTGGTTATTTCAGTCACTGTTGCCCTTCTATCAGCTCGAACCAGTCTGGCCATTCTCCTCTGACCTCTGGCATCAACAAGGCATTTCCGCCCACAGAACTGCCGCTCACTGGATGTTTTTTTCTTTTTCGGACCATTCTCTGTAAACCCTAGAGATGGTTGTGCGTGAAAATCCCAGTAGATTAGCAGTTTCTGAAATACTCAGACCAGCCCTTCTGGCACCAACAATCATGCCACGTTCAAAGTCACTCAAATCACCTTTCTTCCCCATACTGATGCTCGGTTTGAACTGCAGGAGATTGTCTTGACCATGTCTACATGCCTAAATGCACTGAGTTGCCACCATGTGATTGGCTGCTTAGAAATTAGTGTTAACGAGCAGTTGGACAGGTGTACCTAATAAAGTGGCCGGTGAGTGTATATATATATATATATATATATATATATATATATATATATATATATATAATGTGTGTGTGAGTAGACCATATACTTAAGATTGCTCTTTTTTTTTTTCCTTCTTGGACAACCAACCAATCACAATCTTCAAAAGATTGTGTCATACGTAGCAACGGGGTCAGCCCCGCCTCCTCACTATGATGAAGGTTTTTGTCTTTTCCTTGCTCAGAGTTGCTCTCAGATCGGTCCAGAATCGCTCTTAAGCTAAGACTCCTACGTAAAAGGTTTTAAGCTAAATTAAGAGTTTTCTGAGAGGATTTTAGAATCTTTATGAATACGGGCCTATTGTCAGCCTCTTACATGTCTGCATCTTGATAGATTGCAGAATTCAAATGACAAATTATGTTTTGTAAACAAAGTTCGGGAGAAGTATGTTCAAATTATCTATCCAATCAGCTTGAGGCATATATACTATATACACATCCGACTCACTCACCAAGTTACCTCGACAGTTTTCTGTATCCATCCACCACCCGGATCCTCACTTTGGGATGGTTCCTATTCTAATACTAATTTTATTTATTTAATTTTGCCGTTTTTGCCTTTTTATTGTGATAGGACAGTGAGTAGACAGGAAGTAAAGTGGGGGACGGGATCGAGAAAGGTCGACAAGCTGGAACTCAAACTCAGCCAACAAGGCTATCAACCAGACGACGGGTTTTATCCCATTGGTTTATCAACCAATGCAATGCAGGTGGCCTGTACACAAATTAACCTTTGCTTTGTCATCGCAGATAAAAATCTCCTATTGCTTCAATACAGTGTACAGTGACTTTGGGCGGATTGCCAGCAACAGACATTTTAGGATTGTTTGTGATTTGGTCTAAGTGACTTAAGAGTCCTCTTGACTACCCCTAACTTTTCACAGATTTAAGAGCTGGTTTTAATGCTAAAATGCTTTGTGAAATACTCTTAGAGCAAAAATTGAGACACGGCCATTATTTTTAAGACTTTCTCCTAAATCAGCAAGTTAGGTGCTTCTTTTAGCCTTAATATGTTTTGTGAATACAGCCCCTGATCCTTTATCCAGCTAACCATTTCTAACCTGACCGAGTTAAATGTTCCTGAGAGAGATTTACAGATATCTGCATACCGCAGAGAAACCAGGGTCCAAAATGTACTTTTCGCCACAACTGGCAATTGCAGATGAATTCATACATATTAGTGTTTTAATTGATTCAGTGAATTGTATCAGTGAATTTGTGTGCATCATTATGCAAAAATGTTTACAGAAAAATGTCATGTATTTAAAAAAAAAAAAGTTTATTAAGATTTATTATATTGGTGCATATAAATCCTGATGTACTTAATATCCTTCTTCCTTTAGTGCTCCATCAGTATTAGCAGTAATACAACAGCTCTATACTAATGCAAAACCAAATATTAGGAATGTTTTGGTTCGTAAAAAACGCCTAGTTATCGCACATTAGACAGTGTCAGGACTTGTTTACATCTGCTCCTCTAAGAGTACATGCTGAGGCATCAGTGACAGGCAGGAAATGTAGTAAATGTGGGTTTCCGTTGTTCACATCTCTTGATGTCTTTACCCTATTTGCACTCATAAAAACAGAGCTGTGTAGGTCTGTATCCAGATTATGTCAGTGAGTAGACAAAAGACCTGCTGATGCTGCAGAATGAACATCACAGCACACACACACACACACACACACTTACATAAATGTTATACCTGCACTTGGACCCACACATGCTCATTGTTTTCGTGTAGCAAGGGGTATTTTTTTTTTGTTGAACGGTGCACAATGTCACTGCACAACTTCCTCTTCCCTACTCTGTTTAGGTGAAGTCTGCACACCAACTCATACTGTATGTTTAGATATAATCTAAATAAACATCCTTGGACAATCAAACCAGTTGATATTTAGTGTTTAAAGCTGCGATCTCAACTATTTATATGTTGGTCACCAATCACAAATGATGCTCTTCTGTCCTTCAGAAATTTCCAACCTATTAGTGATGACCACAAACCGAGAGCCCGCTCCGCAGAGACAAAATCAAGTCAGCCAGCTGAGTTTCCACCGCATCCTTAAGGAAGAGATTGTACAGGTGAATTTATTATTATTTATTTTTTTCATGGATTTTGAACCAATGTCGACTCTTCTTTGGCATGGCGAGCATTTAAGAAATACAATGAAATACAAATATTGTCAAAAATCTACCATATACATTCATAAATGGGCGCTCCACAGTGAGTAAAAATGCTCTGTCCGTAAAAATTCCTTACTGACCATAAAACTATTTATATTTTTATGATACTTTTATTGAAGTATATATACTTATGAAACATAAATTATTATACAGTATAGTTAAAAAAAAAATTGGTGTGAGTAAGTTTTTTTTTTAGGAAAGAGTTAATACTTGATCAAAAACAGTAAAAACATTTAGAATGTTTCAAATGATTTTTGAAATTTCTATTCATCAAAGAATCCAGAAAAATATCACAGTTTCTGTAAAATATTAAGCAGCACAACAGTGATAATAATAAAAAATATTTCTTACGACCAAATCGGCATATTATTAGTTATATCTGGAAAATCATGTGACACTGAAGACTGGAGTAATGGATGCTTAAAATTCAGCTTTACCATCACAGGAAATAAATACCATTTTAAAATGTATTCAAATACAAATTTAAAATTATTTTAAAATGTAATATCACTGCAGCCTTGGTGAGCATAACAACTAAAAACATTTAAAAAAATCGTACCTACCCCAAACTTTATGACAATATTGTGTGACGGATGTTCTCTTTATAGTAGCCAGTTTGTTTACTATGTAAACTATAAGCAAGACATTCATTATAGCTTGCTATAGTGGGTCTGTCCCTGAAATTGGAAAAAAAAAAGGGATGCTTTGAATAAAAGTTTGTTAATTGACTACCTACTTACTGATATGTGACAATGTGGTTTCATTCAGGGGGAGCATTTGGGTCGGGGCACAAGGACAAACATCTATGCTGGTGTTCTGAAGCTGAAGAGTGAGGATGATGATGACATGGGAGGATACTCACAGGAGGTGAAAGTGGTGTTGAAAGTGCTGGGCTCAGGACACAGAGATATCTCTCTGGTAAGACACACATGGCCTACTCATGTCTAAATGAAGTTTAGCAAACAAGATTATTGGTTTTAGATGGTATAATGTTACCGTCTCCTCATTTGTAAGTTGCTTTGTATAAAAACACGTCTACTGAATAACTGTAAACTAATTGTGGTCATTTTCAACTGTAATGAACCATGAAGGGTTTTGAATAGAATTTTCTCCGTTAGTATTCTGCCATCAGTGTGGTTACTATTTGAATGTTCAAAGTATGTCTTTTTCTGTCTCTTCTCAGGCTTTCTTTGAGACAGCTAGCATGATGCGTCAGATCTCTCATAAACACATCGCACTGCTCTACGGAGTGTGTGTTCGCCACCAGGAGAGTAAGTACCCTACTTTCACTTGTCTCTAATGTGTAGCTAACTTGGTATTGATCCTGCCAAATTATTCTGGTTGTATCTGATGATTGCTTTGTATAGTGATATTCATAACAAATGGATGTTTTTTGATAAGCAATCCATTTCCAGACAGAAAATTTCCAGCACATCTATTAAAGACTTCTCCAAATGTTCAAGTTCTCTTATTTTGTGGTCTTTTATTCTGTTTTGGTGTAGTTTTACATGGCAAGTATGAGAAATATGTGGTGTTTCTCTTCTTCCACCTGTTGAGTTGGAACCAGCGAGTCACCATATTTACTGGTGCAAAAGTAATTTATTTATTTACTAAGCGAACATAGAGACATTGTCTTTCTCCGACTGAGCGTTTAGATCTGACACACTGGCAGTGTTCTATTTCTAAGAAATCACCGAGAAATCAAACAATGAATCATTGCTTGAGTAATAATGTAGTTTTAGTAGTAAGTTAAACTAGTCTAAGAGGAGAAAAGTTTTGCTTTATGATTCCATGGCATGTAAATGTTTCATAAATGCTTTTTGTGAGAAAGCTGATATCAGAGCGACATTCGATTGTTCAACAAAGCCTACTGGTTAGGTATCAGGTTATCTATTTAATTGCAAACTATACTTCCTGCTCCACTGAACAATAACCTTAATACTCTGAGGATCACCAGCCATGTGCACGCAATGGGTGTGTCTGTGTGTTTTCTTAGAAGATTTTGCATATTTGAGCTGGAACCGTGTTTGTGTGTCAGAGGAAGAGAGTTTGATAACGGTGTTCTTTTGCATAAAATACCCCCTCTCTCTCTCTCTATGTAGATATCATGGTCGAGGAGTTTGTTCAATATGGTCCTCTGGATCTGTTCATGCGCAGACAGACCACGACTCTCAGCACCGCATGGAAGTTCCAGGTTGCCAAACAGTTGGCTAGCTCCCTCAGCTATCTGGTAAAGAAACAAACTCAAAAAACAAATGATCAAAACCTTGACTTACCGGTCTTGAAATAAAGTCAATATTTAGGCATGTTTGTATTGAAATCCTGGTATATACCAATATGCTGATAAATATGTTTTTGTTTTGACTGATAACCAATAAATGGTTGATATTATAAATCTGTAGTGCTAATTGGTTTTGATAATCTACCTAAAAACTAAATTAAATTGGTTTCACACGGTACAAGTGAACTTGCATAACATGACATACACTTCTATTAAAAGGTTTGGTGTTAAGCAACATAACATATCAGTGAAAATTATTATGAAGTGTTGTCAGTGAATAATGTTACTGTTTGACTTCCGTGTGTATCCTGTAGGAGGATAAGAAGCTGGTTCATGGATATGTGTGCAGTAAGAACATTCTGGTAGCTCGAGATGGTCTGGATGGAGAGGGAGGACCCTTCATTAAACTGAGTGACCCCGGCATACCCATTACTGTCCTTAGCAGAGAAGGTGAGAGATTCATTATGACCACCTCATTAACACACTTTAAACATTCATACAGGCATTATGACCACTTTAACAGCATGTTAAAGTCAGCACTTAACGGAAGTTGCTGAGTCAAACCGGTTCTCAAACAAAAAAACTAAATGTATAGGTAGGGACTTGATTTTGTTCATCGGAAATTGATTGGATGGTTGTGGTTTGCTATTGCTGTGATCTCATGTGAGTGACAGGTTGTCCCGTCCTCACACTGAAAAACACATCACCAGAGATGTGATGTCGCTGCAAGAGCGAGGGGAGGTTATTTCGACTTAAATTAAAAATAAATAATGATTTGCCTATTTGGATTTCATAGCGACTTTAAGCGGAATACCATACGGAAAGATTTTTCTATAGTTGTTGTAATGTTTTAAAAAGTTTAATTGTATGTTGTAATATTTTATATTACAGTTATGATAGTATTTGATGAAATGAATAGATAATAATAAATATTATTATAATTAAAACATTACTTTTTTTTATAGAATTTTATGATAAAGAAATTTGAATAAATACATTTAAAATAAAATAAATATGAATACATATTAATTGAAATTTCTATCACTGCTCACACTAGGGTCAGAGATTTGAGCTGATGTATATGCATTATAATAACCTTGTAAATAGAAAGAGTCAAATGGGTAAAGTGTTATTGAGTGTGCATCCAGGGTAAATTGCTCTATTGCACTGTGAAAATGGACTGCTCGGAAAAGATGACTGACAGGAATTTTGTTGGCCGAGATCCAGCTCAGCTCCCTGAAGCACTTCAGAGACCAGAAAAACTCTTTTTGCTGTGTGCCAGGGACAGTTACAGGAAAGACTGGTTCTGTGTTTTTTTGGGGGTGGTGGTGTGTGCGCACAGGGGAATGAAAGGGGCACAGAGAGGGAGCATACAAGAAAGTGTTGCCAAGGGATCATGTGTTAGATGAAATGACCTTTGATGTTTGAATGAGGAAATGGTGGTGGAAACCCCCTAAAATGAGGATTATTCAACCAGTACAACCCAGCTTGGGTGTTTGAGTGTTAATTTGAAGCTACTTGATAATGCCATTGAATGACAACGTGCTTTGTGTTTGTCTACAGAGTGTGTGGACAGGATTCCTTGGATTGCTCCCGAGTGTGTACAGGACACGGCTAATCTGAGCGTAGCAGCGGATAAGTGGGGCTTTGGGACAACTCTGTGGGAGATCTGTTACAACGGAGAGATACCTCTCAAAGACAAGAAGCTCACGGAGGTAACAGCGTACACATACGCTGAGGCATGCAAATGACATAGCACTTTCCTTTCTGATAATGTGCTGATAAATGTGTATTTTTGCTGTCATCTCTCTGAGCAGAAGGAAAGGTTTTACGCAGCACAGTGTCAGTTGGCAACCCCTGACTGCGAGGAGCTGGCCAAACTCATGACCCACTGTATGACCTACGACCCTCACCAGAGACCGTTCTTCAGGGCCATTGTCAGGGACATTGTCACGGTGGAGGAACAGAGTAAGGAGTCAAGATATACAGATGACAAACCATACATTTAGTTATTGAACATATTTTGAAATTTAAGCCTAATAATTTCTCCTGTAGTGTTCTCAATACTGACCTCTTGTGGCTAGTACAAAGATCTACATTCATCTTTGCTTAAAGTACTAAGCACATGTGAATGTTTGCCAAGGTTTCTTTCACCTACACTATCATTCAAAAGACTGGGGTGAGAAATATTTTAAGAGATTAATACTTTTATTCAGCAAGGACACATTAAATGAACAGTAAAGGCATTTATATTGTTACTAAAGATTTCTATTTTAAATAAATGCTGTTCTTTTGAACTTCCTATTCATCAAAGAATCCTCAAATATATCACGGTTTCCACAAAAATATTAAGCAGAACAACTGTTTTCAACATTGATAATAATAAAAAATGTTTCCTGACCAATTCATCATATTAGAATGATTTCTGAAGGATTATGCGACTCTGAAGACTGTAATGAGTAATGATGCTGAAAATCCAGCTTTACCGTCATAGGAATAAAGGAAACTGTAAAATATATTAAAATAGAAAACAGTTATTTAAAATTTTTATTTTTCAAAAAGTATTACTGTTTTTTTTTTTTTTTTTTTTTTTTTTTTTTTGTGAGCAAAGAGAAAAAACTAAAAATCTTTAGATATAGTTTAGTCTTATATGACTGTTTAATTCTAAGAGAGTGGAAATAGGCTGTTTTTTCTACTATGCTTTTAAGATATCTATTAATAAGCTCTGCTAGGATTGGCTAGTCTCCATAGACTAGTAGTCCTCACTGTTTTCATTTAGGATAGGATAAGTCGCTGCGCTTAATAAGCGTTGAATTGTAAACATGGTTAGTCATATTTTAATGTGAAGGACAACTTACTTTTTTGTGGTGGGTTTGAGAGAAAACATTGCATTGTAAACGTTTGCGTATGTTTGAAAAAAAAAAAAAACAGGTTTCCATTTTTCCTCTTTATTTTTTTCTCTCTAGACCCATCCATTCAGCCTGTTCCCATGCTAGAGGTGGACCCCACAGTGTTTGAGAAGAGGTTCCTCAAGAAGATCCGAGACCTTGGAGAGGTATTTACTCTCTCTCTGTGTGTGTGTGTGTGTGTGTGTGTGTGTGTGTGTGTGTGTGTGTGTGTGTGTGTGTGTGTGTGTGTGTGTGTGTGTGTGTGTGTGTGTGTGTGTGTTCTGTCTTTAAACTCATAAACAAACTGCTTATTTAACTGACCATCTTCTGGTTAGACTGAAGTACATTGGTGTGCTTTCAGGGTCATTTTGGAAAGGTGGAGTTGTGCAGATATGACCCGCGGGGAGATCGGACCGGAGAGCTGGTGGCCGTGAAGTCTCTAAAGCCAGAGAACCGAGAAGAGCAGAGCAGTAACCTGTGGTGTGAGATTCACATCCTGAGAGAACTTTACCACGAGAACATTGTCAAATATAAGGGCATTTGCAATGAAGAGGGTAAACCACAATTCTGAACATCATAAATAATATAATGCTGTAATGGCTTTTGGTGCCAAATGCATGAGTTGCTTGAGCGAATCTTTCCACGTTTTTGTTTCTAGGTGGGAGATCCATTAAGCTCATAATGGAGTTTTTACCGGCAGGCAGTCTGAAGGAATACCTCCCCAGAAACAAAGCTCACATAGACCTTAAAACCCTTCTCAACTATTCTGTACAGATCTGCCAGGTAACACCGAATGTGAATGGATTACAATGTTTACTAATTGTCCTTGACTATTTATGGCAACTTTCCAACCTGAAAAAAACACCAGCACAATGAAACAAAAATCAAATAAAAATTTACTAATAAAAATGTATTTGAAGGAATCACAACCAAAGGGTTTATTCACATAAGAGCAAAATGAAAACGTGTTCTATTAATTCATGTACTTTAAAATAAGTGCAGTTTTTCATTAATCATTTCTTGTGTTAAAGCTGCTGTCCGTAGCTTTTTTTGGGTTAAAAATTATCCAAAATACATATTTGATAAAATACATAACCAGCCAGTGTTCAAAACTATCTGCTTGCCTTAGCTCGATGCAAAACGGTAAGCTTGTAATAATGTTTTTAATTCCAGTGGTACTGGTGGATTTCCGCGGGAGATTCGAGCATGTCTTTGCGTCATTACGTCACATCTGTACACATAAAGAAGGAGTCTCGGCTAGTATAAGCTATATTGCGTGTGAGGATGTTGGAGGTAGAGATTTATAGCCTTTTCTCACAGCACTTGATATAATTAAACTTATCAATTTGATGGCGGATCCAGAAAGGTTCAAACGACGATCATCATCAGTGACAACTAGAGACTCACCCGCTGTAACATGCAAAAGACTTCGTTCGGACTTCGGAGTGGCTACAGAAAAAAAGAGACTGCAACCGGACCCATGCGAAAACAAGGATAATATCGGAAGGACATTACATGATGTAGTCACGCAATGCTTGCTGACGTTGTTAACATTAACAATTAGAGAACATAGTATAGCTACTTTGCACGGTTTTGTGTGAAATGATAACTTATAAGCAATTGTTAGATTTAATCAGCGCGATTTACTGCAATGTCAGAACCAGAACAAAAGTGAATGTTTCTTACTAGTTCAGATGACATTTCCCGGTGAAAATTCTTATGTTGGTCATACTTCCAAAAAGAATAATCTGCATGTGATTCTGAATGACAATATCCACATCGGCGCGGTGACTGACAGCTGCACACTCTCCTCAAACACTGTGTTCATCCGCGCTGTGCCGTGTCGAGGGTGTTGAACTACAACTCACGTAAAGTTGATAATTCCGCGAATGACTGCAATTGCAGATTTCGAACAGAGATGGCGACAAAGAGGAAAAATGCCGGACTGCAGCTTTAAAGTAAAACAGCCTTGACCTCAGTAGACCGTAAAGCATTCACTTACTTTTATTTTAGCAGATTGCATGTATTTTGCATAAATTTCATTTGCATTAAAGGGATACTCCACTTTTTTTGGAAATAGGCTCATTTTACAACTCCCCCAGAGTTAAACTGTTGAGTTTTACCATTTTTGAATCCATTCAGCCGATCTCCGGTTCTGGCGGTACCACTTTTAGCATAGCTTAGCATACATCATTGAAGTGGACAAGACCATTAGCATTTCTCAAAAAAAAAATGACAAAAGAGTTTCGATATTTTTCCTATTTAAAACTTGACTCTTCTGTAGTTACATCGTGCACTAAGGCACGCAAAGTTGCGATTTTCTAGGGTGATATGGCAAGGAACTATACTCTCATTCCTGCGTAATAATCAAGAAACTTTACTGCCGTACCATGAGTGCAGCAGGCGTAATGATATGACGCACCGCCTGAAAATAGTCCCCAGCTCGGTAACTTTCAACGTGACCTATTTTCAGGCGCTGCGTCATATCATTACGCCTGCTGCACTCATGGTACGGCAGTAAAGTTTCTTGATTATTACGCAAGAAAATCGCAACTTTACATTTTCAGTCGGTCTTAGTGCACGATGTAACTACAGAAGAGTCAAGTTTTAAATAGGAAAAATATCTAAACTCTTTGGTCATTTTTTTTTGAGAAATGCTAATGGTCTTGTCCACTTCAATGATGTATGCTAAGCTATGCTAAAAGTGGTCCCGGCAGAACCGGAGATCGGCTGAATGGATTCAAAAACGGTAAAACTCAACAGTTTAACTCTGGGGGAGTTGTAAAATGAGCCTATTTCCAAAAAAAGTGGAGTATCCCTTTAATGCAGCGATATAGTGTGATATGGAAATGCATTGCAGTATAACAAAAGATTAGGGTTGTTTTTGAATATCTCTTATGCTCACCAATGTTGCATTTATTTAATCAAAAATGAGTAAAAACAAAGTATTGTAAATAATTATTATCATTATTATTATTTCAGCAGCCATTACTCCAGTCGTCAGTGTCACATGATCCTTCAAAAATCATTCTATTGTGATTTGGTGCTGACCAATAGAAAGTCTAAAAGAACAGCATTTATTTGAAATTGTCTTTACTGTCACTTTTGATCAATTTATGTGTCCTTACTGAATAAAATACATATAACATATTTTCTCATAATGCATATGGTGATACCCAGACTATATGTAGGTACCAGCAATATATTCATAAATATGTTATATATCCATTTGCTTTCCACACAACTTATTTTTGCTCTGGTTGTTTGTTGTCCTTGAGGCCTTGTACTCTAGACCAATAATAAAAACAACAGCTGCTTCCAGTGATCCTTTGTGTTCTCATGCTCTGGGTTTCTGTTAGTAATACAGATCTGCAGTGTAACATTATGCTCAACCCTGCTGTTTTCTGACCTCTATCCCCAGGGCATGGACTACCTGGGCTCTCGCAACTACATCCACAGAGACCTGGCAGCCCGGAATGTTCTGGTGGAGAATGAAAGCACGGTAAAGATCGGAGACTTCGGCCTGACCAAAAGCATTAAGGATAATGAGGGTTACTACACGGTGAAAGACGATCTGGACAGTCCAGTGTTCTGGTAAGCCTCACTCATAAGGGTGCTGTTATACAGCAATGACCAAGTATATTAAGCCTAAAATGAACCATGTGCATTGGTAATGATGGAATTATATGCAATTTCATTATGGAATTGTGTATAATTATGAAATGCCCCTGGACAATCCACTTTGTAATGATTCTTTCCCTCCTTTTCCCAGGTATGCTCCAGAGTGCCTGATCCACTGCAAGTTCTACAGGGCGTCTGACGTCTGGTCTTTTGGAGTGACCATGTATGAGCTCCTCACGTACTGTGATACCTCGTGCAGCCCTATGTCGGTGAGTGGCCAGTCGTCATTTTGGTCCCATTACAAAAACCCTAAGCCAGTGTTTCTCAACTGGTGAGTCGCAAGAACGTTTTGAGTGGGTCGTGGAGTGTGCAGTCAAAGAAACAACAACAACAACAACAACAAATGTAATTCTATGTTTTTCTGATGCAAGACTTTTATTTTGAAAGATGTGCGTGGGAGCTGTTGACTCTTCTGTCAGACGCAGTCGAAGTAAAGAGGGCCTGAGAAAAACGTGTTTCGATTCAGTATTTGCAGTCAGATGAGATGTTGTCAGGCTAAATGTCAGTCAATATTCTAACGTTATTTTCGTAACTTGTTACGTAACAAGTCACTCACCTCAGAAAAGCGATCTTTCCTGTCCTGTCGGCCGTTGTCCTGTGCTCGTAGCTCACGCTCTTTAAATGCAAATGCGGGCAGTGGGTGCTGTATATTACTTAATTATAAATAAAGAACAAAAGAAATGATGAGCATGCAACGTCGTAGTTATGTTGTCAATTAGGCTACGTTCACACTGCAGGCTGAAACGACCCAATTTCGAATTTTTTTTTGCCCCTATGCGACCTGCATCTGATCTTTTCATGACAGTCTGAACGACACAGATCCGATCTTTTCAAATGCGACCCAGGCCACTTGGGTATGTGGTCCAAATCCGATATGTATCCGATCTTTTGAAATGCGACTTCAATCTGAACGGCCAGGTCACATGTATCCGACCCGCACGTCATTGATATGCGACAAACGTCATAATTCTGCGTTTAAGTAGGCGGGAATTGACCGTTGAGTATTCTTCTGCGCAATGCGGGTCACTTCTGGGTCATTTCACATTCACACAGGAGATCACAAAAGGTCGCATTTAATTGGAAATGTGAACGACCTTGCAAAAAAATCAAATTTAAAAAACAAATTCGGAATTGAGCATTAAGCCCCTGCAGTGTGAACGCAGCCTTGGTAAGTCATGCAATTACCAAAAGGTACCAATAAATTATGTAACTTGTACTTCGTGTTAGCTGGGAAGGATTGGCACGCAGGCACGATGTTCATTCTATTCATCAGGAGTCGTTTCCAGATGTTTCATTAACAGTTCATGTTAGTATTGTGTATTTATCATGGTAACTGTTGTTTCCATAATCCCAAAATGCCACTGTTATTTTGTATATTTTTCATTGGTGGCTCATACCAACTCAGACCATATTTTTTTAAAGCACTTTGAGTAGTCAAAGAAATTAAAAAATAAATACAATATTTTTTATTGTAGAACAATAACACAAATAAAAAGGAAAATAAAGGAATATGAGAGAGACACAAAGGCACAAGAGGATTAAAATAATACCATAAATATCAGTAATATCATAGCTGCAGTTCCACACATTGGATAGACTTATGCAGCTATATTTATGCAAATGTATTATGTAAATATATCCCTATGTAAGTGTTTTACTTTTGATTGCATTTCTAATTCAGTGTTTGATTATACACAGCAGGAGGGTAACACAGATTTGTTGCGAAGCAGAACCGAGTACTTCTAGCACACTTAGAAAGCCCATGTTCATTTCTGTAGGCTGAAAGAAGCTCTTGTTTAGGAGGTGCTGGTGAGTCTGGTCGTTCTCTCTCTGTCTCTGAGAACATGGCAGATGGTGCCAGTCTGTGCCCACAGTGGCAGATGTCTTACCCAAAGGCTGCAGTAGACGTCTGCACACCAATCCTCACTTTTTCTTTTTTCTTGTGCCTCTTTTGGAGGAAATGTCTGTACTGAGGGATTTGTCTGATTTTCACATTGTACACAATGCAGACGCACAATGTATTGGTTCTTCACACACTGGACTCATTAAAGGGTTAAAGGTAGTTTGCTAGAGGAGAAGTGGATGAATGTTTAATACCTCAGAGCTTAATTGTAAATCAGGCCACTGACCCGACTTTGCTCCACCCCCACAGGTGTTCCTAAAGATGATTGGTCCAACACAGGGCCAGATGACTGTTACCCGATTGGTCAAAGTCCTGGAGGAGGGGAAGAGACTTCCAAAACCAGACGGCTGCTCAGAGAGGGTAATATACAGCATTTTGTTTTAGTAAAGCTATATATTTACACTATTATTCAAAAAGGGGCAGTAAGATGTATATGTATTTTGTGTAATTATTCCTTTATTGTCACTTTTGAGCAATTTAATGCATCCTTGCTGAATTAAAGGCATTTATATTGTTACCAAAGAATTCTATTGTAAATAAATGCTGCTCTTTGCACTTTCTATTCATCAAAAAATCCTGAAGGAATGTATCACTGTTTCCACAAAACTATTGAGCAGAACAACTGTTTTCAAAATGTATTATAATAAGAAATGTTTCTTGAGCAGCAAATCATCATATTACAGTCTTCAGTGTGACATGATCCTTCTGAAATCATTATAATGAGTAATGATGCTAAAAATTCAGCTTTACCATCACATGAATAAATTACCATTTAAAATATATTTAAAAAGAAAAGTTCAGTTAAATTGAAATAATATTTCACAATAATACGGTTTGCCTTGGAGACTTCTCTCAACAAAAAAAAAACAAAAAAAAAAACAAAAAAAAAATATTACCGATCCCAAACCTTTGAACGGTAGTGAATGTTACAGGTCATATTAGTATGTAATTTGATGTAACCTCTCAGATTTTAAGTAATGATACAGAATTCCATGGAAGTCAGTAACTGACAGTATGCCATAGGTGGGAATAAGCCTTCAGTCTTTGAGCAAATATAATGAACATCACCTTGCAAATTCAGCAAATAATTTAAACAACAATATAATATATATTATGATTTCAATTTCAGTTATGTTTTGATTGTTTGCATTTTTACATTTTATTAGTTTACCTTATGTTGAGGTGTTATTTACAAAAACAAGTATTCTATTTTATTTAAAACATTTATTTTAATATTTATAATTGTATTTATTTATGTATACATTAAGTATGCTTTTTTAATTTAACTAAATTTGTTATTGTTTACTAAAATATTTTATATTAAGGGGCTGTTGAAAAAATTCTATGGTGTGCAATTATTTTCAGGGAAACGCACAGCTAAAGTATTCTAGGCAGGTCTTGACCGCATTACAGTTCCATATCACACATCAACTAATTTCAGTTATTTCAGACTACAAAAGAACAGCAAAAGAACCAAAACCCACGACACTGACCAAGCAAATAAATATAGTAAACATTAGGACAAAAAATGACAAAATTTATTTCATGTTTTTTTGGCCACACAATGATGTTTAGGAAAGCACATACTCTTTGTCCCGCTCTCTCTCCCACTCAAAGGCGCACACATAGGCTACAGTACGGACATACACTCACACACAAATCTGTTGTCAGCGCTTGTCAAGGCCGCATTACCACCTCGGGTGCGAATTATTTTTCTAATAATTCAACAGCCCGTCGTCAATTATTCCTTACTTATTTGTTTTTACAGTTAAAGTTTATATTTATTTCACACTATTTGTTAGAACCATTTCCATTTAGAACATAAGCAATCCCCTTGCAGGCATCCTTTTGTTCTTGCTTTATGCCTTACAGAATCATGTTTCTTTCATGATGGTGAAGGTTAGATGATTTAACGGGCAGGTATGAGCTGCACTCCAGGCCGTGCGTCTCTGATTGTGATCTTTGTGTTTTGACAGTTGTACAATCTGATGAGGAAATGCTGGGAGGCGACACCTGAAAAAAGGATCGACTTCAAAAGCCTGATTGCCAACTTTCAGCAGATGCTTGACAATCAGTAACGGTGGAAATAAGATGGGATACAGACTCCACCTCTTATGCAAGAGACAAAATTCCCAGAAAAAAAAAAAAAAAGTATAACTGCAGTGTAGCACTCTTTCAAAAAATATACTCTCCTTCTTACTGTATCCCTCACATTACGAGCTCATAGATAAAACTGCAGGCCATTCAAAATAGCCACAAAGAAACTGCTAGAACCACCGAAGTGGGCAGACGAGCACTGCCCGGCCTCTCTTTGAATATGCAAACGTGTGACTGCCAGTTCGAATTGCTCATTTTTCTCTTCAAGTTCAAATGCAGACCTGATTCGAGTGCACCAGACGTGCACAAAAATGAGGCGAATCAGGAATCTGACACACCCAGCTCCTCTGCTTCATATTGTGCCTCAGTGTCACATCAGCCACCATGATGCATGTATGAAAAACCCATTATTTCCAAAGGTGCAGTACAGCATGTGCTGTATGGAATCTGCCCGTTGTGAGGCATACGCATTGACAGAGACTGACCCTTGTTGCGATAAGAGGACTGTTGTTCTTTGGAAGACTAGGAACGTGTCAGAATGTAGATTTACATGTGTGGTCCACGGTTTGGAGCTTTGATGAGTGAATGCCGAGTGGATTCATTGTGCCCGTTCTCGTGAGACGATTGACGTGCAAAGTATGTTAAGCGCTCAAAGACTGCTGGTTTGTCTGATTTGGAGCGGACAGCTGTCCTCTTAGAAAATTCCAAACGAACGTGCAGGATTCCCGGAGAACTCTGAAACAGCATGCGCCGGTCAAGATGCACACATTCTAAGGACTGTACTTCCACCCTGAGCTTCACATTTGCCACGGAAAAACTGAAGAGGATGATTCTGAGAACAGCACGTGGAAGGGTATTCGTCATGGGTTTAATGAAATCCCCGAAATAGGCACTAGGGGACAGTAGAGTTTATGAAATAACTCAAGAAAAATTCACATTTTGTTGTGCAAATTATATTCTGGGCTCAGCTAACTTTCAGAAACTGATTTAACTAAAAAAAAAACTAAAAAAAAACTATAGTATTTTATCTGTTGTTTTTTATTAAAATGGAATTAAAAAGTGATTAACAAAACCCCAACATGTTTCTACAGGGGATATTTTGTTTTTCTAAAGATGGATGCTGACTTGAATGAGGAGGATCAAGATGTGAAAAGTGAAATTAGTTTTTCGTCTTAAAACGCTTAAATGCCTTAGTCGTTATTCATATAGCTAAAGGAAGGCTAAATATTCAAAGACACACTAATTCCCATCTGATTATCAGATTATGGTTAATCCTCACACATGGTTCCTGAAAAGGGAAAATGATTCATCTCCCTGGTGGAAGTGTCACATGGTTTTGCACTGAAGGAATTGTGAAACGTACGTCGTTGCGTTCGTATCTATGCCTCCACAACGGTCAAAATGGTCAAAGAAGAAAAATGATGAAACAATAACAGACATTTTTCTGCCCTTTAATGTGGATTGCAAAACAATTCCATCTGCTCAAAATTAAACCCAAACCTATTTTCCTCAAAAAGAATGACAACAAAATAGTTTCGAACAGGGTACATAAATACACATAAATAAATACATTTTTTTTTTGTTGTAGTTAAATACTCAAAAGTATTGAGCTCTGAAACATCTACTGGAAAAAAGAGAAAAGTTTTTTCTTGTATTGCAGGAGTATACGCATGCTTCAATTCCACGGTTTCTAAAAATAGCTTATTCACAGTAAAGCAATATCAATAGAGTTTGGATTATAAAATATTGCAAAATCTCAATTCAAGGTGAAAAAAAAAAAAAAACTACAACCTTGTAAACTAAAAACAGGCTGCAATATGAGTACAAAGCACAATAGTGTTGATAACCCTGCATGTTTGAACAGGCGACTGTACCTTCTACATCATTAAGAGACACTTCAGTATTGCAAAGCTTTGAGATACAAGTGCACACATACATGTTCATAACATTCAAGGGGGTAAAAGTGACCTCGCAACGAGTGGACAGATGTGCGGAATCGGAAAAGTACGTTACAGCCTTGACTTGAAATACAAGGGGAACATCAATATGACCATCAGCAAAAATGGTAAGAAATACCAGGTTCGTAAATGCAAATAGGCACAATTTTCCATCTTCCAGCTTTCAATAGGAACACTTGAAAGATTCTTTAATTTCATTGTGTACGGTAGTTTTATATGAAAAGAACAGGAATAATCAGTCAAACCTCTCTTTCCTCGATTTGGAGCAGTGTTATGGCTGAAGAACAGGAGAGTGAAGACACATGGGAAGGTGACCAGAAACACACGTGCTTTATAATCCCTGTAGCGTGTCATTCGCAACAAATCTTATTTCTGATTATCTAGAAACAGTCAAACTGAACTTGAGCACAGAACAAGAGACATGTAAACTAAAAAAAAACGTATTCTTAACCATTTCTAGTATTCCCTCGGAAAAAAAACAAAGGCCTCTGTGATTATAAATGGTGGGTTTGTGCTGAAAGTGGGACGCAGAGCCTCAGGTACAGATGTAAATTTGGGATTGTCTTTATACTTGTCATAACACAGTAAAGCAACATAAATAGGACGCAATAACAGAAGCTCCTCCTCAGATGTATTTTCAGTCTGTTGTGGAGGGGAGAGAATGGCTTTCAGCGAGAGAACAACCAAGTGACAATCACTTCAAAAGAGTAGGAAAAAAGAAGGCACGCAGCCTTAATCACAAACGGATGAACACGCCAGGCAAACATCAGTACGACCAGTGATCAACATGGTATGCTGCAAAAAATCCAGTTCTTAATGGGTTTCTGTCATGTTTACCACTAATAATATCTAAACAAACTCAGTTCAAAGTAAACGGGATTGTTCAAAATTCTCACTATTCACCACCAGCCTCATGTCCTGATTCTGTATTTATGAAGAATGTTTCAACTGTTTTTGTCTATACAATGAAACTCAATGGGGTCCAAAACAAAATCCGACCTCACTTCCATTGTATGGATCAGTGTTTTTATCGTTAACTAAAACTATTAAACAATGTTTTTTAATTGAAATCTTAAACTTGAAGTACTAAAGTTGCAATAAAAAAACATGACAGGCACTAAAATGGAAAATATAAAAACAAATAAAAAATATGAATAAATACTATGATGGTATATAAATGATACTAAAATAACAAATAAAAAAACTTTCCACAGAATAAAGAAAGTCATCTATGTTTTGAACAACATGAGGATGGAATAGCAGTTTTGTTTGGTTTTGTGAACTATTCCTTATAGATTTCATTTGTTCCATTGGGAGACTTCTAAATTTAGACAATAAAAGTACCACGCAACATGATAAAATACACCTCTTCAATATGCATTATCTTAATATCTCACTTAATTTGCCTCATCTTTTTAAAACATATTTTAACTTAAAGACTGATACGGATTAAAAACAGGATTTTCGCAGCATGAAATCACCAGAATAATACAACAGATGACTAATATCCATATAAAGGCATTATGCTAGATTATTACCATGTGGGTGTTTGCATCAGGACGTTTTGCCAGGCGTCTACCCTATACGTAGCATCCTTCCGACACATTATTACTACTACTATCGTGATATATTATTGAAAACAAAGCACTGGCAGCATTGTAGCTGAAGGTTGTGGGAAGGTCACCTTAAAGCATGGTAGTAGTTTGTCCAGAGAAGGTAGAGGTTATTGCCTTAGCCATGTCTTCTCTGAGCGCCGTGTTTTAAGGCTCCTGCAGCGTTCAGTTCATGGCTGATCATTCCTACAGATACAGCAGTATGTACAAAGACACGTTAAAGATTAACTGTCAAAGATATGAACGTGCGATGTGCAGTTCCTTTACGCTTAGGAAAGCGGATTGATAGTCAAGATAAACAATGATAAACACATTAAGCGAGACGTTATATTACTAATATTTTCAATGTCTGTACACGCTGTAAAAAATACACTAATTTTGCAGAATATACAATGTACATTGGCCAAGCCCTACCCTGTCAGGAAAAAAAAAAAATCGTTGAAAATTGTTATTCTCTGAGTGTAGCTCTATCTTTATCAGCCCTTAACCGGTAGTACAGTAAAACACGGGACACGATAGCCCCCCCCCCCCCCCCCCCCCTGAAGTGGAATGGTACGCCCCACCTGCGAGAGAGGTAAAAAGGCAGAACAGAAAATTAACCAATTAACTAAACACAATCTTGAGAGGTCCGTCCTGCCTAGTGTCGGACAGAAATAAGAACAGTACCCAGATACACAGAAGGTTCAAGAAGGGGAATAAACCTCCTTCTGCACAATAAAATGTACAATCTTTTCATAAATATCAGTTATGGACTAAAAGTTAAGGCCTGGACATGACAGTGACAACATAACAGCTAGGTGTGAGAGCGAGTGCGAGTTAGATCCTCTTCTTCTTGAAGTAGTCTGCGTAATGGCCTCCAAGACCCTGTGAGTGTTGGCCTACATACTCTGATGTCACTTCCTGTGTAGGCAGTGTCGGGTATTCGCGCTTTTGCCCTCTAGCCTGACTCTAGGAGAGAAAGAAAGAGAGGTTCATTATAACAGAAGGAATTATAGTGATTAGGATGATTTCACCTGTTGATGATGTACGTGACTCACTATTCACTGCATGTTTGAGTTTGAGTGACATACAGTAAATGACTGATGGGTTTTTTGTGTTCCATACAGTAAACGAGTGACGGCGTCTCCCTCAGCCCACACACGCGTCTGAGGAATTTTCTCTGACTCTCGCACTACGATAAAGAGCCTATTGTTGAATCAGTGAAGTTAGAGGTGTTTATCTCTCGATGTGTCAGTCTTTTACTTCCAACTGAAGAATAACTGACGTTACTGCCAGACTCCTACTGGTTTTCATCTTCACCAACACGCAGAGCCACACACACACACACACCATATGTTCAGTTGACTGAGCTATCTATCGTTTTATTTATCAATTGTTCAATTGTATCAATTGAAAAACGTAAAATATCACATTTGTACCAATTATGACTGTAATGATGCTTGATATTTCGTTATGCGTATACTTCTATTGGCCTCGTGAAACACCTAAAAACCTGTTGGTGCACAACATAGCAAACTAAATAATGTGATGTTGCAATGGTTTGGAAGATGAATTCATGATGTACTCACTCATGTGAATTATATATATATATATATATATATATATATATATATATATATATAAAGTACATGATTGAATACATCATGTATATCTAATATATATATATATATATATATATGCATATGCATATGCACAGTCATGGTTTTACCTACCGGGACATAATAAAAATGATCTGGTTGTTTGTTTGTCACACATGGCTTTTCCATTTTGGCTTTATGTTTGTTAAACAAAGTACACCCTACGATTCAGTTGCTTGTAGAGCCACTTTTAGCTAGCCTGGGAAAACCCAGACAACTTCCGGCAAATTTAGATTTGCTCTGAAAGTTAGTCTGGCAAAGAGCTCATTCAAACCCATTTCCAATCCGCCGAAATCGAGGCACCAATCAGAAACGTTGGGGCGGGCTTTACACGATGACGACAGCGCTGGGATTTTGAAGCAGATTTTGTAGCCTACATCACAAAGATGGATGCCGCCGTCGAACATCACTCGTTCGAATCAGCTATCGCGTCTGTTTTAAACGATTTGAACGTTTCCTTTTTGTTAAAAACCGAGCAAAGAACAACACTCGGAGATGTTTATCCACCGCTCCTCTGCATACGTCATCTCCTTCATCGCTCTGATTGGTTTTAGGTCTATCCGCGACGTCCGTTGGTGACGCCCCTCTGGAAATGATTTGTCTATGACGCTTTGCCAGACCATAACTCAGTTACAACTGAGAATGGTCTGGTTTTAACCAGGCTAACTTTTAGCAGCAATAAGTTGAAGAAATCATTTTCTGTATGACTTTATCAGTCTCTCGCATCGTTGTGGAGGAATTTTGGCCCGCTCTTCTTTACAACGTTGCTTCAGTTCATTGAGGTTTGCGGGCAACGGGCAGCCTGATGTTTATGTCCCACCACAGAATTTCAATCTGGTTGTGGTCTGGACTTTAACTGGGCCAGTGCAAAGACCTTGACTCTTTTCTTTTTCATCCATTCTGTTGTAGATTTACTGATGTTCTTGGGATCATTGTCTTGTTGCATGACCCAGTTTCGGCCAAGCTTTAGCTGTTGGACAGATGGCCTCACATTTGACAGAAAACTTTGGTATACAGAGGAGTTCATGGTTGACCCAATGACTGTAATGTGCTCTGGTCCTGTCGCTGCAAAACAAGCCAAAAATCTTCACCCCTCCATCAGCGTGATGGACAGTTGATACAAGGTGTTTGTGCTGATATGCTGTGTTTAGTTCGCCTAACTTGGCACTGTGCATTATGTCTAAACATCTACACTTTGGTTTCATCTGTCAAAAGGACATTAACTACGTTTACATGCAGCCAATTTTCGGGTTATGGTCGGGTTAAGGTCACTATTCGGGTTTCTGAAACATTAGGGATAACCCGTTTACATGCGTGAGCAGAGAGAGTTTCTCCTGTATACATGGAATTGCAATATCCCGATGTAAACGGCGACGCACGGTTAGCGTCAAGACGTACGGAGAACCTTAAGACGCAATATGCGTCATTTCCGATTCTTCTTCCTGTATCCAAAGACAACAACAACAGCAGCACGCGGATAATGAATAGTTCGGGGCAGATAGCGATCGCCTTTGTTTGCGCTTTGGTGCTGGTACTGACCTCGCTCCAAAAGTATGCTGTGCTGCGTCTCGCCATGTTTCCTTCCGGTATACTGCACGCAGGTTTTTGTATGCGCTGAGAAGTTCCTCTACTCAAAAGACCAAGATTCCTTGCGAATAGAACATGCGCAGAACACAAATCACTATGGGGATATGCCGATGCGCGTTTACATGACCAAAAATTCGGGTTAGAAAATGGGTACCCCAGGTATCATATCCCGGTTTTTAAAATCAGGGAAATGAGCATATTCGGGTTTTTGCCGGTGTTTACGTGGCCGGCGTGCGCGACCCGGTTATTGTTAATATCCCGGTTTTGAACGGGTTATTGGCTGCATGTAAACGTAGTCATTGTTCCAGAAGTCTTGAGGTTTGTTCAGATGCAACTTTACAAATAAGCCGTGCTGCCATGTTCTTTTTAGAGAGATGGAGCTTTCCTCCTGGCAACCGTTCCAAACATGCCATACTTGTCTAATTGTACTGCCATGAACTTTAACATTTAACATGCTAACTGAGGCCTGTAGAGTCTGAGGTGCAGTTCTTGGGTGTTTTGCGATTTCTTCCTTGGGGTGAATTTGCTGGGTCGTTCACTGGGAAGATTGGCAACTGTCTTGAATGTTTTTCACTTGTGAATAATCTTCTGTAGAATGATGGACTTCAAATTGTTTCAATGGCTGCACATATTGTCTGAAAATGGCCCTTCCCAGATTAATGGGAGCAACAATTGCTTCTCTAAGATCATTGCTGATGTCTTCCCTCCTTGGCATTGTGTTAACACACACCAGAATGCTCCAGACCAGCAAACTGACAAAACTTCTGCTTTTATAGAGTTGGTCATGTTTGCTGATGATAAACTAATCAAAGGAATCTGGTTAGTAGCGCCTGACTGCTACTTACCCGCTTATTTCCTGTGAAAGCAGTAAGGGTGTACTTAGTTTGCCACACATGGCTTCTCCATTTTGGCCTAGTTTTGTTAAATAAATAATGACACGGTGTAATATGCCATGTGTTGTTGTTCATGTGAAGTTGTATTTACTTTAATTTTTAAGACCTAACAAGGACCAGATGTTTTTTTTTTTTATTGTCCTGATGCGTAAAACCATAGAATTAAATACGGTGTCCTTTCTTTTTCTTTTTCACATGATATACAGTATATATACAGTATATATATATATATATACACACACACACAAACACACACACACACACACATATATGGTTCTTGTGAAAGTAATGAAGTCAAACTAACCCATAAAGTCACAATTATGAGAAACAATTGTAATGGTGAAATTTAAAGTCTCACTATGAGATATAAATCACAATTACAAGAAACAGACACAATTGTGTGATTCAAAGTCAATTGGGAAATGTAAAGTCATAATTAACTTTTTAGTTTTTCTTGTTCTACTATGGAAACCTAGTTTGGAAGTGACCTCAGATGAGCAAGTTATGGGTCATGCATCGCTACACTATTGATAATGGACAACTGACCTTCTTTGCCCTCCAAAATTTCACTAATGTGACAGCTCCTTAACCTTTTCATATAAAATTATATTTTGTCCTGGAATCTAAACATATGCAATCTTTCAGGTGTCTGTTTTAGTCCTAACGTGTATTTCAGACAGGTCTCATGCTATGTGGTTTGTCTAAGTTCTCTTTACCTCACACACACTTTATGAAGACAGACACACACTCACATAATAGTAGTTGTTCCAGTCGTTGGCTGTGGGTACAGCGGGTGTGTGTGTGGCAGGGTTGGCCGCGTGCGTGTGTGTCGGTGTGATGAAGCCTGGCATGATGGGAAGGGCACTGTAGGTGGGCAGCAGGGTCTGAGCACTGCCATTCAGAGAGGTGTGCAGAGGTGCACTCAAGGGGGTCTTCACCACCTCCACCTCCTATTGAGAGACATCATCAAACATTTATACACTTAATACTGTATCTATCCAAATGCAACACACACTATTCAAATTACAGGTCTCTCTCTCACACACACACACACATCGACCCAGCTGCTGTGCTGAGGAGTGATTGAGTGTTTTCAGCAGGATCTCATGTCCTAAGAGTGTCATGAGACTAAGTGAGGAATGTGTGTCTGACCTGTAACACCACCTGCCACCACATTTACATAAGCTCATACACCCAACACAAATACCACCAACACACAGACATTAAGATAAACTACTACCACACCAAAACATGTATATACAGTATATTGTGGATTTTTTTTAAGACTCAATCAATTTCTAGGCCATCAATCAAAAAAATTATTTGTGACTGTAGAACAATAAAATGCATGCAGCTCAAGTGCTGCTGCCATTAAAGCAAAGGTATTCTGAAATGTTTCAGTTTACTGTAAATGAGAATTCAATGTGAAAAAGGTATTCAATTAGAATTATGACCACAGACTGCAGCGATTGACAAATCATAATAATGTCTATAGACTTACATACACTACCCCCATTCAAAAGGTTGAGGTATGATTTTTAAGTAATTAATACTTTTATTACTATATTTATACTTTTGTTCAGCATGTATGCATCACATTTTCCCACAAAAATACTAAGCAGCACAACTGTATTAATAAGAAATCTTTCTCGAGCACCAAATCGGCATATTAGAATGATTTCTGAAGGATCATGTGACACTGAAGACTGAATTAATGTCTGCTGAAAATGTTGCTTTTCCATCACAGAAATGAATTATATTACTACAATAGAATATTAAAATAGAAAACAGTTATTTTAAGCTTAATAATATTATATAAATTGTATAATAACAGTTCTTTGTTTTTATTTTTGGTTTCATATGCATGCTATTATGGTAGGAAAAACAATCCGTACAGATTTTTAGTGTTGCTGAATGCATACAGTTTATATACTGTATATGCCCACCGAGAAATGAAAGTCTAATTTCTGATCTATTTTGGTCTGTGACAGCATGAACGATCTGCAGTAAGTCAAAGAGTGATCCGTCATAAAGAGAGGCCATGTCAGCCACGAAACACTTAAGACGCAGTGGAAGTCCAGGCTTTTGACTTTCCTGAAATCTGTCAGAAGAACTACGGCTGGAGTAATTCTTCCACCAGAGAGTGTGATGTTTGGGCAGCATGTTAACTGTTTAGCATTACTGCTGCAGTGTATGTGTATTGCTGCACAGTCTAATCCCCTTTCAGTCTGTAGTTTTTGAGATGGACAGAGATGTACACTGTTAAGTGAGCATGATTAAGCATGATGTGTTTCAGTGCGTCTGTGTAGTGTACAGTACCTTGCTGACATCTCGGTGCTGGTAGACTTGAGCAGCTGACTGGCTCATCTGCGTCTGAGAATAGTACTGACTGACAGCATGCATGTAGGAACTGTAGTCACCATACGAGGAGGTGACCACCACCTGTGACACAAACAAACACACATTTGTTATCATGGTGGGGACTTTCCATTGACTTCTATTGTTTTCCTCCTGAGTTCATGATATTTTCTATCCCTAACTCAAACTTTTTTTGTTAGTAGAACCCCTTTGACCTAAAAAGTTAGCTTGAAGTACCACATGAGATGTTAATACTTCAATAATATACACCATGGCTTTTTGATGTCGGTTAATGGTCACATGACATGCAGGTAATCAAATCAAATATATAATATTTTTTAAGTAAATGTTTTAATTTTAAAATTATTTATATTTTATGATTTAATTCATTATTAGTTTCTCATCAACTCACAAACAGTTCCCTCACGAACCCCACTTGCGAACCCAAGTTTAGGAAATCCTGCTTTAACCTTTTTTACATTCTCATAAAGACATTATTTAGTATGTTTATTATGCCGGTTTCCTCAACGAGACAATGTAGATCATTTCAGGGTTGGGTTTTTTTGTGGAAAAATACAATGTAAAATGGGCACTTTACTATAGTATTGTCCCTTGGTATGCGTGTGTTTACCTGAGGTTGCTCTTTTGCGCATTCAGTTACTGCAGCCGTCTCTTGGCTTGTGTTTCCGTAGGTCTGTGCTTGGTAGTGTTGGTACCACTGCTGCATGGCCTCCTGTCACACAGAGACACAGATCAGAACCAACAGAACAGAATAAAATACAGTCAGACAGCTATAACAGCGATCTATATAGGAATCAAACACGTCTTGACTGTCTTAAGGCCCTTTCGCCCTGACATACTGTAAGGGAAATGGAAGAACAAACTGGTGTGATGTAATTTCCAACAAAATCAGGCCAAAACAAAGTTCATTTCAGGAGTTCGAAACCTTCCGGAGAAGAGAGTTATTGCAACTTTTTGGCCCTGACGCAGATGTCGAGAAGCGACACCACAGTCGGCTTTTGTTGCCGCTAGTTCTTTGATGTTGGTTTGGTGTGTCTGAGCCTTTACTGACTTTTCTCACTGACTTTAGTCGCAGCCTCAGATGACATATCCAGTCTATTCAGTGACTATTCAACAAAATGGCAATAGTTTTCTGACTTTATAGGTTTTTTCATGAGTCCATCAGGCATAAAATGTGTGCTTAAAAGGTACAGGGTGGCTCCAGTGATCAGTGTCCAGGGAATTGGGCCGCGGGTAAAATAAAATTCTGCAGGTTGATTTCCACCCTCTTAAGTAAGATTTCGACGCTCCAACACTCCCAAAACACCCCCGAGACATACAAATTCAGTTGAGAATTACACCGTCCGATGGTGAAAAGCACATTGGGCTATTTTTGGGCTGGAAATCTGGAACCATTCTGCACATTTCCACCACTGAAAAGACAGTTCCATTATTTCCATTCTAAAGCAATGCTGGTCTCGAACCAGGAACCACTAACGTCAGAGTGTTTCTGGGTAAGAAGATTTTGGGAATTCATGGTTCATGGTAGCCTGGATGCCAGCCCGAACCCCGCCCACAACATTTTTTGGTCGGGAAGTTCGGTCTGGACTCGCTCCATTGAGGAGTAATTATGATCAGTCAAAAAATGTTCGGGCCAATCAAATTGCCAGGGCGGGCTTTATACAATGATGGACAGATGATCTACAGGGACGTAATCATCACGTTATCAAAGAGCGCAACTGGTTTCCCTCAAGAGATGACTGCAGCTGGAGAACTGAGATAGATTCCGCTATCGTGTCTGTTGTAAAAGAAATCGATAGCGCATTCATTTTAATAGACGAACAGAAAACTGCAATATAGGCATTTGTTGATCGGAAGGTTATTTTGCCGTCCTTCCTACGGAATTCGCCAAACGTTTAATTTATCAGCTGGCTCCGATGGACGCTAAGAAGATGGGACGCAATGAAAACCCTGTGGTTGTTGTGGTTTCTCCTTTGGTCGCACTCATAGAGGACCAAGTAAAAGAAGCAACACTCGTTATTTTACTTCTTCCAGCGTGCGTGCATTTGAGTTCTGTAGTTGACAACTGTGCTATGCAAAGTAGTTGACTTACTGGGTTGCTCTCATTGGTTGTAGGTCTATCCAATTGAGTGCAGAGTTTTTTTTTCTTCCTGGTTCGGTTAAGACACGCCTCATAATCAAAGCCCTATGGAGCAGTATCAGACTCACATTCTGACTAGAATATGAGTATGACGAAGTCAGGCTAGGTTCATGGCATTGCATCTTTCAAAAACATTGAGTTATGTAGGAGAAACTAGAAACTAAACTAGATATCCTTGAGCACCAATGACAGGGGTAGACAGCCTTGCTCCTGGAGGGCTACTATCCTGCAGAGTTTAGCTCCAACTCCAATTAAACACACCTAAAACAGCTAATCAAGGTGTTCAGGATTAATTGAAAATAACAGGAAGGTGTGTCGGAGCAGGGTTGGAACTGAAGTCTGCAGGAACGTAGCCCTCCAGGAGCAGGGTTGGCTTCCCCAGCTTTCCATGTAGATCAGACAACTTATTCTGTCCAAGCTCCATCCCCTTAGAGAGGAATAAGCATCAAAGTGGACTGAATAATACACTGCAGATAGTTAAAAGTCTGGCTACATGACTCTATATGACACTGACTACATTTTATCTCTTTGCGTTGCATTGTATCTCCTGAGCTGCTTCCTCTTTTCGTCTTCATCTCATCTCTCAATCTGTCTAACCTTGTGGCCTAATCCTTTTCGCTAGCTTTCTCTTCTACCATTCCCTTAATGTATATTTTCCTTCTCATCTCATTCCCATCACTCCTTTCACCATTCCCTGCTCTCTTTCTCTCTGGACACCTACAGCGTGAAGCTCACTGTCTCATTTCACCAAAGCTGGTGGAGTGTGTGGGAGTGTGCGACCAGATGGGACAGACAACTCACAGCCAATCTTCCTCTTCCCTCTTGTCTTCCCCCTCTGCATCTCTCACTCCCCCTTCTCTCCCTCCAACTCTCACCCACTCCTTCTCGTATTGTCATAGGAACGCCGGCAGTAATGAGAGGGAGACCCACATTTAAGCCATTTAATCCCACTAAAATTTCTTCCCCTCCAAACTCTCCGCCAGAGAATGAGTAGGGATCACCCTAAAGACACTGGAATGAATCTGAGAGACTGTGGGAGGAACTGCAACTCTTTCTCCTTCCCTCTCATCCTCTCCTGGAGCACATTTTCCTCTCCTCAGTGTCTGCTGAAATCTTTACATTCTGATTTGTAATTCATTTCACAACTTTTTGACAGAATAGTGCATAGTGGCAGGATATTATTGGGGAGAAAGAAGGGCAATGGGAATCAGAACATGTCACAGGGTGGATTCGAACCTGCATCTCTGGGAAAGCACTGTGTCCTAACCAGGGGTTTGGGTTTGGCTGGTTAGCTTGGGCCAGTTAGCCCATAGATGCCATTAACTACACCATAAGTGTTATTATTGTTAACAAAAACTTAAACTATTAACTAAAACTTTCAAAAATTAATTGAAATAAAGCTGAAATATAAATATTAGAAATGGTAATTTCACATAATTCAAGGGGTTCTTGGTGAGCAGAGCCAGTTGCTGACAGTTAGCTTATAACAGACCTCCTTGGTCCAAACTAGGTATGATCTGACAAGTTTCGAGTGAGTAGCAATTTGTCAGTGCAGTAACAGATATCAGAAGATATTTGATGTTTAATGTGAAACGGGACTTAGGGCCAATGAGATTTTACTGTGAGGGGTTACAGTGCGCAACGAAGCAGAAATAGAAACCAAGCGATAAACAAAAAGCTCAGTTGGGACAAACAAAAAATCTGATTTAAATGGAAGTAATCATTTGCCTAGGACACGGTGGTGCACCACAGCTCCATTCTGATGGAACTCTTTTTGTTCTGTTTTGAACATTTTTCTTTATTCCGTATAGACCCATCTATCTCTATTGTACAGCTGAGCATATGGCAGAATTGTTTCCTTTCTCATTCCTCTCGCTCTCTCTGGCTTTCCCTTTCAAATCTGGGGCTCAGTGGAAACCTGTGTTAGAGAGAGGAGTTGTGGGGGATATAATGGGGGAGAAAAGACTTGAGAGAGTGGGCTAAGATCGAGACAGAACAGATTGATGGTTGCACTGAACACTGGGATTTCTTCTTTTCTCTGACTGTCAATGTCTGTATTCCACAATTGTCAAATACTTTGATCTGATACACAAGATCACAATCCTAACACCATCAAAAAAAAAGAGAGAAAAAAAAGAAAAGAAAAAAGAAACAGACCAGTGACTGCAATGTGCCAGTGATGTTGCTGTTTGTATGTAACTGTTATCTAGCTAACAAAAGTATATTCTAAGAACGTTCTGCTAATGGGTCAATGACATGATCAATGCATATTTTTGTCCAATTGCATTATTTCCTTTTAAAATAGTTTGATAAATTCATGACATATATCACTTTATTCTATAAAAATGTAATTTTCAGTACATTCAAATAATAAATATTATTTTATGTTTTGGTATTTTAAACCCCTAAAATGTTAGGTGGAGCAACGGTCCGCACAAATGAACAGACTAAGAAAACTATTACATTTTTTTTTTTATGTTTTAGTAATAAGAAATTCAAAATAAAATACTATGGCATAATTTTATGCTTAAAAACTTTCATTTAAACACATTTTATAAATATCAGTAGTTTTAAAGCTTTTGAGATAATTTGAAAAACATTTGTTCTGCAATTAATGCCAGGTGCAAACATGGCTCTTTTATTATGAATTGACAAGGTAATAACAGTAAGAATGATAATACATCACCCAGAGAACCCTAATTGATCCTTTGCTACTTTCAAATATGGGTGGGTTGGTACATTTTACATGTCAGTGGCACAGCCAATGTAAAACTAGGAAAATGCTATTTTATCATAACCTTATTTATTGTATTAAAAAAATTATATGTATGAAATTACAATTTAGCTAGCACAGGCAAAAGCTAATACAGGCATCCAAGTAGAAGCTTGTTCAATGTAAAATGATATGCAAAAGTCAGGTGGCGCAACCAGGAAGTCAGGTGTATTTAACTTACTATGTACTCGCATCAAAATAATTGTTAGGTATGATGTACTTGTTCATGTTGTTTTACAAAACACTTGTGCTGCTATTGAGGTGGGATACCAGTAAGGTTAGGGACACGTTTGGTGGTATGGTTAGGTTTAAGGGTGGGTTAAGGGGTAGGGGTAGGGCCAACAGTGTAATTATAGATGTCTTTACAGAAATTATTACAGATATAATATGCAGGCATTTTTTAAATATAAGTAGAATGTACTCAATAAGTCCATTGTATCAAATTATTTATTTCAACGTTAGTACATGCTAGTTAAAGACATTTAATATAAAGTGGGACTGAGAACTCAGCATGACACAGGGAGCGCATTTAAAAATTACCCGACTGTAAGAGAAGCATATCTAGCAAAAAGAAAAGAGAGGTGAGGAATCTTGTTTAGTAGTTTTTATATAGTTTAAATTTAGATTAATGCATTTTTGATACTTTAATTAAAAATTTTCAACTGACTTAAGCTGATGATTTTTGTTGTACCAATATAAAAACTGACTTTGTTGTTATTTAATCACAATCGATTACAGTGTATCTAACCAATCCACTGTAGCCTATTCCAGTGTGTTCCGAATGTGATGTCAGGAGATTTAATTCTGTTATTGATCAATTTACCACTTTTACTTCAACAGAGACTGCTGACTGAAACACTTGTATTTGCATTTTATTTTTTATATATAATTGAAATTATAAAAACCAGTATTCAGCAAATTCCCTGTCATTATTAAAGGGATACAATTCTGTCATTATTTACTCACCCTCAAGTTGTTCCAAACATGTGTGAATTTCTTTCTTCTGCTGAACACAAAATATATTTGGAAGAATGTTGGTAAGCAAACAGTTGATGTACCCCATTGACTTACATAGTATGGACATTTTTTACAATGGAAGTCAATGGCTACCATCAACTGTCGTGGTTACCAACATTCTTCAAAATATCTTCTTTTGTGTTCCAAGAACGAATTACAAATAACGTTTTTGTGCTAACATTTTGAGAACATTATTAATGACCAAAAAACTTTGAATGAACATTAATGTTACTGGAAGAACGTGTGCTCATAATTTTGAGAGAACCTTGCCAGAAGGTTAGCTAAAGTTCTGAGAATGTTCCCTGGGTGTGTATTGTATACTACTAAATGTTATTAGTATATTACTCCAGTCTTCAGTGTCACATGATCCTTCAGAAATCATTTTAATATGCTGATTTCTTGCTCAATAAATTTTTTTTGTTATTATCAATGTTGAAAACATTGAGTTGTGCTGCTAAAACTATCCAGGGTTCAACAAAAATATTTGTCAAGATTCTTTAATGAACAAAAAGTAAAAAAAAAGAGAAAAACAACAACATTTATTTGAAATAGAAATCTTCTGTGTAAATGTCTTTGCTGTCACTTTTGATCAATCTGTGTGCATTTTCACATGTGTATTGCAGGTGTTGTAGTTACCTGTGTGTATTGCTGAGTGTATTGTTGGGTGTATTCTGCAGGAGTGGTCTCTGTGCTGTATTGACTGGCTGGGTGGGTGTTAGGCGGCAGGACTGCGCTGTATGTCCCAGTGTGCGCCTGCACAGTCTGAGGTTTACTGTTGCAGGGTGCTAAAGGAGACACAAAAATACTGATGTAAATCATGGCCTGTTCAGGGACACCTATTTAGAACATCTCTCATACAGACAGTCTTTATCTTCTCTGCTGGAGTGGGCTGCAGCCCATCTGGCTGTGGCCTTGAGCAGGGAGAGACAAGACAGCCGTACACTGTAAATATTATAGTTGAAAATAGAGAGCTGACAGAGAAGAGATACATTCCAAGGTCTGGCAGAAGTGAGTCATCTTCAGTGTGTGCAGTTCTGATCGTGCACGTACCTTGTAGTACCACTCCAGGAAGCACACTAGCCAGGTTTAGATACGGGTTGGATGGCAACTTCACTTCTTTAGGAGGGTCTCCCAACAGAGATGTCTGACAACTAGACTGACTCTACAGAAAGAGATAAAAAAAGCGAGAGAGACACGTTGAGAAGAGCAGCAAAACAATATGCTACAGTTTTTTAGATGCTAATCTGGTACATCACAGAGTTGCTCACATATAGACCACACAGTGAGACTGAAATGTCCACTACTTCTCCAAACTTCTTAAAACATACAACTATAAAGATATCATGAAACATCTTTTGCAATATATTCGCTAGATGTAAGTGAAACTGACTATTCAGAAAGAAATCATGTAAAGTGGGCTATTATTGGTTATCAATTATAACATTGTGTAAGCAATAAGGTACAAGAGGCTGTGACTATATTCACAAATACAACACAGTGTCTCTTGCAGAGAGACTCCGTCCACACACTCTTCTGATTGGGAGTGATTTTTGATCGATTTTGACGCGTCTCGTAGTCGTGTCGCGTCTGGTGTGGACAGACAAATTTCTTGTTGCTGGAGTCTCATTCCATTGCATTTGGTTAGGGCACGGTGTTATAGTAATTAAACATGGCTAACGACCATTTCACATTTGTATTATCATTTTTTTTTTTATCTGCGTCCATTGCAAATCGTGTCGTTTTTACTTCCTTTCAGCCTAAGCTTTTCATGGACGCTAAGTTTTCACATTTACATTTCACATTTATTCATTTAGCTGACGCTTTTATCCAAAGCGACTTACAATTGCTTTATATGTCAGAGGTCACACGCCTCTGGAGCAACTAGGGGTTAAGTGTCTTGCTCAGGGACACATTGGTGTCTCACAGTGGATTCGAACCCGGGTCTCTCACACCAAAGGCATGTGTCTTACCCACTGCGCCATCACCACCCCGCCATCACCACGACCAATCAGCACCAAGGACCAGAACTATCTGTTTTATAATGTATTATCTATTACTGTACAGTGTATTACTATATAATATTATATATGTTATTGGTAAATAGATATATACAATAGGGATGTCACGTGAGGAAGATTTCACACCAGTATTACTGATAACAGCAGGGGTTGTAGGGGGGGTTGGGGGATTGCCTTTGACTTTCTCGCGATCACGCACCAAATCCTCTGTCATGCTACTTTCGCTTTTAAATTCACAATCACGAGTACTCTGTGTAAATAGGCCAATAATTAGCAGGGTATTGCTGTATGGGCCTATAATTTGCGGGGTATTGCGGTCAAAATCGCTTTTGAACCTGTGCTTGCTTTTTATTTTAGCTTATGAATTTGCGATCATGCACCAAGTCCTCTGCCATCGTCTTGTCAGTCATTTCTCCTTGCTCTCTTCACGTGATAAGTGAAATCTGACTACTGCTGTGACTCTGCAGCTCGTGCAGAGCAGAACCGTCCGTTGTCCAACTGAACTAAATGGTTTTTATTTCTATAAAAAAGCAAAACAAGGTGAGAGATCCGAGGCAGATCCAAGGGGAGATCCGAGGTGGACAAGTAATGTAATAAGTGTACAAGCCGAACACCGTGTAACAACAATTATGGCAGCAAGCCTAATACATATATATATATATATATATATATATATATATATATATATATATATACACTCACCGGCCACTTTATTAGGTACCCCATGCTAGTAACGGGTTGGACCCCCTTTTGCCTTCAGAACTGCCTCAATTCTTCGTGGCATAGATTCAACAAGGTGCTGGAAGCATTCCTCAGGGAGTTTCGTCCATATTGACATGATGGCATCACACAGTTGCCGCAGATTTGTCGGCTGCACATCCATGATGCGAATCTCCCGTTCCACCACATCCCAAAGATGCTCTATTGGGTTGAGATCTGGTGACTGTGGAGGCCATTTTAGTACAGTGAACTCATTGTCATGTTCAAGAAACCAATTTGAAATGATTAGAGCTTTGTGACATGGTGGAAGTAGCCATCAGAGGATGGGTACATGGTGGCCATAAAGGGATGGACATGGTCAGAAACAATGCTCAGGTAGGCCGTGGCATTTAAACGATGCCCAATTGGCACTAAGGGGCCTAAAGTGTGCCAGGAAAACATCCCCCACACCATTACACCACCACCACCAGCCTGCACAGTGGTAACAAGGCATGATGGTTCCATGTTCTCATTCTGTTTACGCCAAATTCTGACTCTAACATCTGAATGTCTCAACAGAAATCGAGACTCATCAGACCAGGCAACATTTTTCCAGTCTTCAACTGTTCAATTTTGGTGAGCTCTTGCAAATTGTAGCCTCTTTTTCCTATTTGTAGTGGAGATGAGTGGTACCCGGTGGAGTCTTCTGCTGTTGTAGCCCATCCGCCTCAAGGTTGTGCGTGTTGTGGCTTCACAAATGCTTTGCTGCATACCTCGGTTGTAACGAGTGGTTATTTCAGTCACTGTTGCCCTTCTATCAGCTCGAACCAGTCTGGCCATTCTCCTCTGACCTCTGGCATCAACAAGGCATTTCCGCCCACAGAACTGCCGCTCACTGGATGTTTTTTCTTTTTCGGACCATTCTCTGTAAACCCTAGAGATGGTTGTGCGTGAAAATCTCAGTAGATTAGCAGTTTCTGAAATACTCAGACCAGCCCTTCTGGCACCAACAATCATGCCACGTTCAAAGTCACTCAAATCAACTTTCTTCCCCATACTGATGCTCGGTTTGAACTGCAGGAGATTGTCTTGACCATGTCTACATGCCTAAATGCACTGAGTTGCCGCCATGTGATTGGCTGCTTAGAAATTAAGTGTTAACGAGCAGTTGGACAGGTGTACCTAATAAAGTGGCCGGTGAGTGTATATATATATATATATACACTACCGTTCAAAAGTTTGGGGTCAGTGAGAATTTTATTTTTATTTTTTGTAGGAAAGAAATCAATACTTTTATTTATCAAGGAATAATTAATTTGATCGAAAGTGACAGTAAAGACATTTATAATGTTACAAAAGTCTTTTGAACTTCCTATTCATCAAAGAATCCTAAAAAAAAAAAAAAAAAATTTACAACTGACAGACCTACAACTTTTTCAACATTGATAATAATAATAAATGTTTCTTGAGCATCAAATCCTCATATTATACTGATTTGTGAAGGATCATTTGACACTGAAGACACTGACACTGGTGATGCTGAAAATTCAGCTTTGATCACAGGAATAAATGACACTTTACTATATATTCACACAGAAAACAGCTGATTTACACTGGAATAATATTTAATACTATAACTGATTTTTGTTGTATTTTTAATCAAAAAAGCGCAGCCATGGTTAGCAGAAGAGAATTCTTTTAAAAGTATTTAAAATCGTTCCGACCCCAAACTTTTGAACGGTAGTGTATATATATATTGTTTTCCCCAACTAAATAATTGGTTGGAAGTTGTTTCACATTGTCAAGCTCCAAAAAGAAAAAAGCATTATAAAAGTAGTCCATACAACTCATTGCCTACATTCCAAGTCTTTATAATCCATTCGGTACCTTTGTCACTACCCACTTTTTATGGTACGGAAAAGAGCAGCTCAGATATTCTTCTAAACATCTCCCTTTTTTTCTCCACAGAAGAAAGACATGCCTTTAGAACACAGATTTCACAAATAAACAGCAATCCAAGAGAAGGAATGAAATGGAAAAGTACTGGCACAGAGTCTGGTATTCATCTCTAATCCAGTCACATAGAAGACAGAGCTCTCCATTAGCCTGTGTAGAGTAATGCACGAGTAATCAGAGCCTGCAGCACTAGTGGTCTGTCATTAGGGCTCAGAACTCTGTCAGAGTCTGTTCTGAGCTCTACTAGGTGGCTGAGTGCTTGCGTCTGAATAAAGACACCTCCAGACAGAACAATGGAAATGGAGTTCTAGGAGGTCGAAGCACTTCAGACAGATTCACAAGTACTGTATAAGCGAGTGTGTGCGTGTTTGTATTGAGTGTTCAAAGTGTAAAAGTGTACCCCCTTAGATGTTGTATATATATATTGCTCACCAAGGCTGCATTTAAAACAAACTGTAAAAACATTAATACTGTAAAATACATAGAATAATTATAAATATAGAATCTTTTCTAACAAATGCAGCCGTCTTTAGTTTCGATCAATTTCATGTATCCTTTTTGAATAAAATTATGAATTTCTTAAACATATTAATTTTGTATATAATTAACTATAAATTAAATGTAAATTATAAATATTTCGCCACTGTTAGGCGGAAACCTCGTATCTCCATATTATCTCCATATCTCCATATTATTGATCACTCTGGGTTTTGTAAGTATTTAACTGATGAAAAGTATTAAAAAGAGCATGTGACTAAACCTTGTATCTCCACTGGATATGGTTTTTGAACGACACAAAAACGTGAGTAAATTATGACAAAATTCCTCTAAGGTTCTAAGGTCTAAGGGCCAGATGTACGTACATTTGCGAACGCAGCGATAACAGCGCCATGGCCAAGACGCAGAAAGCGCTTGATGTGAAACCGCAGTGTGCGTGTTATGTACCAAACCTGCAGTTCATCAGGTAATCAGCACCTGTCCCCACCCACTACACCGTAAATTGCGCATGTCAAGTACTTGTACTATGATACGGCAGAGTGCAGACTGCGATATTCCCACTGCTGATGCTATGACTGTTTGAAATGATCCTGATGCCAATAGTTGTAATGTAGCGAGGAGTTTAACAACTGCTGGAATAGAATGTGAACGCTGAGTCGGAGATTCGATGTCATCTTTGATTTCTTCCAGTAACTGTAATATTGCGTAGCTACTAAATCTGTAACGCTTAATGATTTCGTTTTCACTCAACTGAAAAAGTGTGATTCTCGTGGCAAAAATCTTTTCAGCTCGTCTCCTTAGCCTATGTCTTCGTCTTGCTCGAATTACTGCTGCCATTTCACCAGGAGGCATATGCCAGGAAACCCGCTTCCTAAATTACACCTGCTTTTAAAGGTGGGGTATGTGATTTTCTTTTTTGACCATTTTTTCAAAATCACTTGAAATCCTATTCCTAACCCACTTACAGCCACTGAGTTAGAAGCACTGAAATGAAAATTAAGCAATTTAATCATCTGTGGAACGGGCAGGACTCGAAAAACTCCAGCCAATCATTTCCAAGACCACCAAGAATCATTGGACTGTAAGTGCGTCAATCAAACGGTCGTACCATACCCCCCCTCCCCCATCCCCCTCGTGCGCATACTCAAAGCTCGTGACCCAGTCACAGTAAGTGCAAGTCGCCCCGGTACACATACGCGGAATACATAATTAGGCGCAGTTTACGCTTCCCCTCCCATCTCTTTATGTGACACTCCCACTTTCCCCTTGACCATCCCATTTATGCATATGCATGACACGAAAAGCGCATTTTGCCATTTTCAGTTCCCGCGACAGGCAGTCTACGCTTTCATCTCGGTGCGTCCCGTTCGTACATACCTCGCCATGGTTTTATGCGCACTTTGCGAAACAAATACGCCTAAAGTGGGCGCAAAAGCGTTAGTACATCTGGCCCTGAGTGAATTATTCTCATTAAGTCTCAGATTTTGTCATTTTTTGTCTTGAGGTGAGAAATTGGAGAAGCAGAAAGCAACCAGGCTTACCGTGACGGCAGTACTAGTCTGCACACTTGAACTGTGGTGGTTGGCTGGAGCTTTGTGTGTTGTGCTCCCCAGCAAAGATCCCAGACTTGGTGTGTTAATCCCAGAGAGGAAGTTGTGGAGTTGTGTTTGGGAGCTTAAAGATCCCCCTGCGGTTCCTGGTGGTGCGGGCTGTTTCTCCGGAGCCAGGCATGTCGCAGTGACTCCGTTCTGTTCAGAGACGGAACTCGCATGTGAACGCCCAGGTATATGTGACACCATTCCAGCCCCAGAGTTTCCACCCTGGGATGTGACTGGAGAGGAGTCTTGGCCCAACTCTAAAAACCAGAGAACTTTGTTAAACTTTTGTAGTAAAAAAAAAAGATTTAGCACCCAATGTATATTATTCATACTCTAGAAAACCTTCATAGTTTAGCATTTCAATTTCTCCCTCACTGTAACACCTGCATGGCACTGATATTCAAATAGAAATGACCCTGCACAAAGACATACTCTTCAAAGGTGTTTAAAGCTTTGATGAATGCCTTTGCACACACAAACAGACACACGTCTGTATAAAAGCACAAAGAAAGAACTACTAATTGAAGTGGCTGCCTCGCACTGCTTATAATGGGGCTTTCAAACAGTTTGAGGATTTGCAATGCAAATGTCTTTCCCTGCAGTAGCGAATGAGACCTCTGGACCAGGCTTGAGGTCTGCAAGGTTGACCAGAAGCTCTCACCTGTGGGAGAATCTCCCAGCAACCCCTTCCCCAGAGGAACCTGTGTTCGAAGACCCAGAACTTTCTGCAGGAGCAGCCGGGATGGGTCACCTAAAAGACCTTGGACCTGGTAGGAAATGAGAGAGCGATGAAGGAGAAAAAAAAAGCAGTCAGGCCATTATAGGGTCATGTGACAAGCAAGTGAAAGATGAAGTACACACAAATGAGATTATTATGGCTACAAAAATGCACATTCCAAGACAAAACACACATGCATTAAAGGAGATTTATGCCAGCGTTATTATTGCATGTATTATTGTTCTATTTTTTTAAGTACATTTTCCAGCACAGACGGCATTATTATTCTTTTACCAGAACCTCAAATTTGCATTAAAAATGCCAGCTGGATGTATGGTTCTAATACTTCTCTATATAAATAAATATAAATAATGCCTTTCTGAACAAAAACTGCAGTTTTCTCATTATTTACAAAAGGATTTAATGCAGACCAATAATATCCTTGCAAAAAACACAATTTAGACGGTTGTTGTATAACATGCATTATTTTGCTGGTAAGTGTACTGTGGTGATATATTTCTTTTGTTATGGGTATGTTGAAACACGTGAACACACACACACAGACACTCACATTAGTGATTTGCTTGTCTTTGATCTGTAAAAGCTGTTGTTGGGCCATCTGCATGTGAAGAAGATTCTGCAGAACAAGACCGTTTCCAAGAATGGCAGACTGCATGAGAGAAAGAGAGAAAGATAGATTGCTATACATACTTTTCTATTTATCTGTGAAGTAGCTGCCTATTTATCATAACATATTTCCCTCTAAGGTGTTCTTCTTTGCTGTACTATAACCTTTTTATCCATGATCGGCAACTTTATTTCTTTAGGGTGTTTCTTTAACTATAAGCACCTTTGCTTTGTGGACTTTTCAAATAAACCTTTCAAACTCGCACTAGTTTAGACCATCTACTTACAATGTCCAACAGTAGATATGCATGCATCACAGCAGAATTCTGTCATTTTGACATTTTCCTCCCTCCCTCCCTGAACCGTCATGAACTAATGTCATTTCAGCCACACTACTATTCATTTGGTGGTGGAAATAATGGAAATGACATCTGAAATATTTTTGAAATAAAATGGTAAACTCCATTGTGTTGCTAAAAGTAATTTCATTGGTAGCATTTTTTTGTATTCTATATAAACACATTTTTAAATATTCTGTTCAGAAGTGACATTTACCATTTACCTCATTTCAAGCATGAACTATGGGTATGGGTAGTTTACCCATACTGTTGGTAAACTAATAGATTAACTTTTCAAAACAACTTTGACAACAACCACAATAAACAAAATAGTTCATTGTGGTGGAAATGATGCCCCAACTCAAGGACAGTCATATTAAAAAAACAATATATATATATATATATATATATATATTAATAATAATACATTTTCAAAAAATAAATACTGAAATAATTTATTTTTGTTACATTCTTTGTTTAGGTTATTATAGACCTAAAAAAGTAATAATTATTTTTTTTTATTATGGATTTTTACAGTTTAAGATTTCAAGTCTGGGTCATTGGTAAAACAACCAAATCTATATATAAAAGGCATTTGAAAAGTAGCACAAGTAAATGATGAATGCATCATAAAAGTTTCCAAAAAGAAAGAAGTTAAAATATTTAATAATCAAACCCTTAAATATACAATATAAGAGCCTAAAGTTAAAGAAACACCCATCAGCATTAAGTCAGTGTTGCGGGTGATTCAAAGAGAAAGCATGTACCTGCTGTGCTTTTCCTAACTGTAGCAACGCTGCAGTCAGCGGTGGACGCAGGAAGGGAAGATTGTGTGGTCGCCCAAACTTTCCTGGTGGGAAACCATTAGATAAACCAAATGAGTGGGACAAATAAGAGAGGAAATCATGTGAAAAGAGCTTGTAAGCTCTCAAAATAAGAGAGATGGACAGCAGAAAGTATGTGGCCTATACTGGCAGCCCATGATTTCGTCATTCCAAAATTCCAGCTTCAGAACTAATGGCAAGTTGCTCCGGAATAGGTAGAGAAGTTTAACATTTAATCATGTGCTATATTTAGTGTTGTAATTGTGTGTTCTCTTTAAGCTCCGGCCTCCACTTCTTCCTCAGCTCATTTATTCTCCCACCCAATGAAAAGTTCATTTTAATATATGATTAGGCTTTCATCAAGGGGAAAAATCTGCTCAGAATCTACAGCACTGTTACAGGGATCACTGTTACACACACACACACACATATGCAGAGACATGAGAGATATTTCATCTCAAAAACTACAATCCTCACAGGAAACATTTTTGGCTCTGTCTGAAAAAGTACTTAAGCGTATTACTCATGAATATTCAATAAATTATTTGGCTAATAATAAGTAAAGAGACACTTAAGAGAGGCACAGAGAGAGAGAGAGAGAGAGAGAGAGAGAGAGAGAGAGAGAGAGAGAGAGAGAGAGAGAGAGAGAGAGAGAGAGAGAGAGAGAGAGAGAGAGAGAGAGAGAGAGAGAGAGAGAGAGAGAGAGAGAGAGAGAGAGTGTTACCTCCTCGTTTGGCGTTGGGGTAGGGTCTCATAAGGATCTGGAGAGCAGCAGGATTGGTCATACTGTTGAGGAACTGGGCCAGATTGGGTTCAGGCAGTAAACCTTTCTTATTGCTCAACATCTACAGAAGCACACACATATGACAAAGATAAAACAACAATTCATTATTTTATTATAAATAAAAAAAGCATATCCAAGCACTTATTATTGTTAACAGATTTTCTCCAATTTTTTGTCAGTTTAAACATCCTTAAAGCTGCTGTCCGTAGCTTTTTTTGGGTTAAAAATTATCCAAAATACATATTTGATAAAATACATAACCAGCCAGTGTTCAAAACTATCTGCTTGCCTTAGCTCGATGCAAAACGGTAAGCTTGTAATAATGTTTTTAATTCCAGTGGTACTGGTGGATTTCCGCGGGAGATTCGAGCATGTCTTTGCGTCATTACGTCACATCTGTACACATAAAGAAGGAGTCTCGGCTAGTATAAGCTATATTGCGTGTGAGGATGTTGGAGGTAGAGATTTATAGCCTTTTCTCACAGCACTTGATATAATTAAACTTATCAATTTGATGGCGGATCCAGAAAGGTTCAAACGACGATCATCATCAGTGACAACTAGAGACTCACCCGCTGTAACATGCAAAAGACTTCGTTCGGACTTCGGAGTGGCTACAGAAAAAAAGAGACTGCAACCGGACCCATGCGAAAACAAGGATAATATCGGAAGGACATTACATGATGTAGTCACGCAATGCTTGCTGACGTTGTTAACATTAACAATTTGAGAACATAGTATAGCTACTTTGCACGGTTTTGCGTGAAATGATAACTTATAAGCAATTGTTAGATTTAATCAGCGCGATTTACTGCAATGTCAGAACCAGAACAAAAGTGAATGTTTCTTACTAGTTCAGATGACATTTCCCGGTGAAAATTCTTATGTTGGTCATACTTCCAAAAAAGAATAATCTGTGATTCTGAATGACAATATCCACATCGGCGCGGTGACTGACAGCTGCACACTCTCCTCAAACACTGTGTTCATCCGCGCTGTGCCGTGTCGAGGGTGTTGAACTACAACTCACTTAAAGTTGATAATTCCGCGAATGACTGCAATTGCAGATTTCGAACAGAGATGGCGACAAAGAGGAAAAATGCCGGACTGCAGCTTTAAATAAGAATAATTTACTGGGAATCAAAATTGTGTCAAATAATTTTAAGTAAGAAATGTATCTTCAGTTAAAGGGATATATTTTCTTCTGTGGGAAACAAAGGTGATTTTTTTTAAAAAAATATGCAGGCCAATTTTTTTACATAAAAAAGTGGACGCTCCAAAAACAAAACAAAAACAAATTAAATAAACACCTGCACCATAAAAAGTTATATACAACTTCTGTATTATATCTTCAGGATGTTTAGAATAGACAAAACTGAATAACCGTGTAAAGCCTGACATAAAAAAAATAGTCAAACAAATATATATGTTTTTAAATGGAACAGTTTTTTGAACCTTTAGACAAAATATTTTAAATGAAAAAGGAAGAAATAAATGCATACAGTATGTGTTTTGTTGAGTATCATATCTGACACATCAGGCTCTTATGACCCATGAACAGTAGTATGATATAGAATATGGAGCTAAAAAAACACCTGTTTTATTCAGAGGCTTAATTTGAGCAAAGATAGGCAATTTGGTGCAGTTGCTCATATTTATATGGCCAAAAAGTAAGATTAAATTCTGATAGATTGTAATGTAAATCAGTGAGATCTTCATAAGAGTATAGAAACTTCACATAAAATGCATTTAAATATCAGTTGTCACTATATATTCCCCAAAAATCTTAGTAAGATGATATTTAAATGCTTACTTTATGTCAAAGCTCTCTAGTATCAAAGCTTATATCAAAGCTCTCTAGTTTTTATTTTGGGGGGCAAAACATACAGTATAGTGCAATACAATGATGAACGGGGAGATAAACAATAAACGCTCATCAGAGGCCTCACATTTTAAAATGATTTTTTTCTAAGTTGCTTCAGTTGAGTAAGTGTTCATTTTGAAATATTACTGACAATATAAGTTATTTTTATACTTACTTTAGAAAAATCAGTACAGTTTTCACAGCAAAAAGATACATGTAGCATGACCTGAAGAACATTTAAGAATTACAGTATACTAAAAGGCCCTTTACTTGGTAAAAAAGTAGTAAAACTATCAATCAGACGGCAAAAGGCATGTAGCAGATTGTGTAAAACAGATTTTTCTGATCATCTCTATAATTTAGAGGCTTTAGAAATGTATCAAATAATATGCTTATCAAATATGGTTCAGTAGGCTTTATAGGGTTAAGATGTTTTTTTCTTTTTTTTCTTTTTTTTTTTTTCTTTTCCTTTTCATATTTGATGTCTTGTCAAATGTTTATCCGGAATGTTTATATCCCAGCGGTGAGTGAGCATGTGTGACCACGAGTATTTGTTGGCATGGGGGAGACGCTTGCAGACATGCGGAACCCCTGATTAGATCTCTGATGTCTGCTAGAGGTGTGGATCCATCCCAACACACTCCAACTCCATCTGCTGACTACTACTCCCCCACCCACACAAACTTGTGCACACACACACACACATTGTGGTGCTTTCATACAGGAATGCGTGAAGCCAAGGATGTAACAACATATACAAGTATGGGAGGACATCTAGGTAATAATTTAAGAATCAGGGGAACATGGTGGTGGTGGTAGTGGCCTTGGGAGAAGCAGCAGATGGGTGGAGTATTTGGGAAGAGGGAGTGAAGAGACAGTTGGCCTATCTCTTTATAAGGATGACAAAAGCAGGGCCATGTCCCATCATGCCCCCTGCCTAGAGCTTCAGAGATGGATTAGCAGAACGCTCTGCTTCCAAAGAGCCATAAATTACAGCTCAAATGCTCTATTTACCACACCATTAGAAAATGAATTGAATCCATAAACACTGAAACAAAAACGTACTCGGGTACTAACGTAACTTCGGTTCTCTCTAGAAGAGGGAACGAGTACTGCATAAAATCTTACGCTAGGGGAAAACCTCTTTTCCACAAGATATTGAAGCCAAAAATTATCCTTAATTTTGAATTAATGTAAAACGCGTTGCGGTAGCATGCAGACATAGGCAAGGCAGCTCGCGTGCCTATTGGCTGTCCTGCGGCAACTGCAGCAGCCTATCGAGAGAGGCCCTTGGTGACGTCAGATCCAATGGGGGCGCTTCGCGCCCACTACGTCACCTCCCGCCAAAGCGGGCGTGGCCTGGGCCTTTAAATATAGCTCGATGGGCTGATATAATCTGTTTTTCATCGTCGAAGCGAACCAGAGCGTATTGCAGGCACGGCAATGATACTCGTTCCCTCTTCTAGAGAGAACCGAGGTTACGTTAGTAACCGAGTATGTTCTCTTACGAGAGGTTCTCTCGTACTGCTTAATATCTTACACTAGGGGAACACAGTGTAAAACGGCGTGCGTGCTGGGATCCAACCCCAAAGTCCCAAGGGCAGGTGCCCGGGGCTCATATAGTGCATAATCACCAGGGACTCACAAAGAGTCTGAGAAGAGAGGCTAGAAGCGTCATTCCCAATAAGTTAGAGTCCTAAGGGAGCTAATCACATCAACAGTGTTCCACAGAGTCAGGGTGAAATTGTTCGGCCTGAACTGTGTAACGGTATGGGTCTTACTCTTGCCCATGGAGTAATCTTATCGATCAGCGAGCGGTTGTAGTATTCTGAGCCGAAGCAACGGGGCAGACAATACTGATTTTAGACCAAAAGTAGTTTAGCCTGTAAGGCGGGAACCTCTAGGTTATAAAACCATATAAATGTAGACGGGGAGGCCCAGCCTGCCGCCATACAGATATCCTGCAAGGTAATCCCGCTAGACCAAGCCCACGATGAGGCCATGCCTCTTGTGGAGTGCGCTATAACACCTAAAGGACACTTCAAGCCTTTAAACGTGTATGCCAGCGCTATGGCATCAACTATCCATCTGAATAGGCTCTGTTTCGAAGCGGCTAGTCCCTTAGCACGTCCGCTGAACGAAACGAAGAGCTGCTCCGTCTGTCTAAAAACAGACGAGCGAGACACATAAGCTCTTAATGCCCTGACTGGGCAAAGGAAGCTCGCGTCCTTTTCCTCGTTGTAAACCGGCAGGGCACACAGGAAAATAACCTGAGCCCTGAACGGTGTGTTGAGGGATTTAGGCACGTATCTGTGTCTTGGTTTGAGTATGACTTTCGAGTCATTTGGCCCAAATTCCATACATGTCGCGCTTACTGAGAGCGCTTGTAAATCCCCTATGCGCTTTACTGAAGCAAGAGCCATAAGAAACACTGTCTTGAATGTCAGATGTTTCATGTCCGACAAATGGATTGGCTCGAACGGGGCACCTTTCATGGCTTCCCAAACCGTGGAAAGGTCCCACATGGGGACAGAGGGGGGTCTGGGAGGATTCAGCCTCTTAGCTCCTTTGAGGAAGCGGATGACCAGATCGTTCTTCCCCAGTGGCTGGCCAGTCACGGGTTTTGTAAACGCTGCTATGGCCGCCACATAAACTTTGAGCATGGATGGGGTTCTGCCCTTATGCAGTAGCTCTTGAAGGAAGGAGAGAACTTCCGTAACCCCACAGTCTAGGGGTGAAAAGCCTTGGGCTTTGCACCAGCCAGAAAACACAGACCATTTTGGGGAATAGAGTCGTCTAGTAGACGGCGCTCTAGCCTGCGTGATTGTGTTTAACACTCCCTCCGGCAGGTTTGCGGGTACCCTTTGATGGCCCATGCGTGCAGGGACCACAGCTCCGGGCGAGGATGCCAAATCGAGCCCTTGGCCTGAGAGAGGAGGTCTTTCCTCGTCGGTATTGGCCATGGGGCAGTGCTTGTCAGCTGCATCAGAACTGGGAACCAAGCCTGGTTTTTCCAGAGCGGAGCCACAAGTAGCACTGAGCATCCGTTTTCCCTGATTCGTTCCAATACCTGAGGCAGGAGCGAGACGGGGGGAAAGGAATAGAGTGGGCAGCGGGGCCAGCGCATCCCTGCTCTTGGAGAAAAACTTCGGACAGTGAGTGTTTTCTTGGGACGCAAACAGGTCTACCTGCGCTCT